GTCATAAAACTGTTAAAGGCTTATGAAAGAAACAAATTTTATTTCCAAAGGGAGAATTGTCTTGAAAAAAAATTCTAAAAAACTAAAATTAAACAGATGAAAAATATAAGCGTTTTGAAGTTCTTGTAAAGTTCAAATTTCGGCCTAAAGTTTCATTGGCTAGATGTCCCGTCGAGCTGTTATCTTTCACCCTTGTCTCTTATTTTTTTTTGTCGCTGATAATTCTTAATAACTTCTATCAATAAGATTAGAGAATAATGATGCAAATTCCAAAACACACAAAAAATAAGGCAACTGAATGATAAGTATTTTGGATTCAGTCCACACCTATCTACTCATGGTATGATGATTATTTGTTCTGAAAACGTCAGACAAAGAATTGATGAATGATTGATCGATCAAAAGCATTGAGACTTCTAAGGATTTTTCAACAAATTTTCAGTTATCGAAAAACAGGCTTAAAACTAATCAAATTTTCATCCAAATTTGACAGCAAAAAAAAACATCTATGGAGAATGACCAAGCTAGACAAATTTTTATCAAAACCTTGCACAAGGTACCGTATAAGCTTTTGATGTGAAATTTGTATTTTACTGATCTTAAGAATATCATGCCTCATGTACAACTGTGCAATCCACCAATGTTACAATGAAATACTCAAACAATTACAAAAAACGCTGAAAAAAACTTAAAATATAACAAAATGTTTATATCTTTTAGCTATTATCTTAACTAACATACCGGGAAAACAGAGATCAGAGTTATGAGAAAAACTTTGAAAAGTCGAAAAAATCAAAAAAATCCAAAAAGTTGTCTCATTTGTGTCTTGCGAAGTAATTAATTTGCGTTGAAAAATGAAATACCCCGGCTTTACAATTGATAGTAACCTCACTTATAAAAGTTAAATGAAATTACGAAAATTTTTGCCATTGTTGTCAGTTTATTGTGACATCGTGTTTTATGATTTATTTTTTATTTGTACCGACTATTTAAAATGGGGAGGATCATTGTATTCTAGTGCGTTTTAGATTTTTCTTCTTGTTTTTGTTTTCAAGTACCACGATTGATCATCCGTTTGGGTTGAGTGATATATCATAGAAAATTTTTTTCAGTCTTGATTTGAACGGCTGCCTGAAAATTGTAAATAATTGTTCCAGCATCGAGAACAACTGGCTTGATGTTTTTGAGATTTGGTCTAAATTTGAGCAAATTATAGGATAGAGTAACGTTTGTTATATAAAAACTGGACATTAGGGCTCAAAAAATTTAAAGTGTCTCTGTTTATCAATGCTAATCTAGGTAATTTTTAAATTGTCTCAAACTTTTCCTCATATTCACAGAAAGACTTAAAATTGTTCAAATTTTCAGTGTTTGGGTTTGCTGTGCTGGTCTACATTCTGGTCAGTCTTCTGTCCATGGGGGCCCGAAAGGCGTTCAACCTCGTCCGCCCATCCAATCAGCAGGGGGAGGAGGGAGGAGGGGGAAAGAACCCCACCCTAAGTGTGACCGATGTGGGAAACACGAGTGGAAATGAGGAGAGTGACGTGGAGGGTGGGGCTCCCGATGCTCCTCCCCGGGATGCGGCGGTGGGGCCTGGTTACCGGGGAGGCGGATACAAGGTATTTATTCATTCACTGGTAATAAAAGCTAATACTTGGGGGGGGGGAGAGGGTGGTGTGATGTGGTTTTTATGATTCAGCATTCAAAAACTGCAGCAACCGGGTCATCATTTAGTTATCATATTGTTATATCTTAAAATAATTGCCTTATGCATTTTGAAATCATTAATTTTTGTTATATATGTTTTTTCGTTGTTTTGATCAACAAGTAGTTTACGGTGAGTAAACAGGAAATATTAACTTGGAGCAAAGGTGAAATTAGCAAAAATTTTTCAGGGTCTGAATTGTCTCTGTTCACAAGCTCAATTCCCGGAAGGCGAGGATTTCGACGAACTCGCTTACGATAAAGCTCGACAAGGAAGTGTCGTGGCGCGAATGATTCGCTGGGCTAATATCGCGTTCGCGGGACAACTTATCGACAACGCCTGCTCAACTGCCACTTGCGAAAGCTACAGTCCACGAGGTGATCAATAAATGCCTTCACATAATTTTAAAAATTTGTAATCTTTTCCACGTGAATTAAGGCAAGTTTTTTTAAAGATAAATAGCATAAAACGCAAGCTATAACTAATTTAAAAGCCTGATAAGTTATCGACTATTTACGAAGTAACAGACGAGGAAAATACAGCCGTAGTATATCTTCAGTTTTTGTTCCGACCATCGAAAATGGGGAGGAACTTTGTATTCGGGTGTGTTTTGGTCAACTAACATCGGACTAAGTGTTTTAGTCAGCTGAATAATCATCGGGCAGGGTTGAGTGATATATCATATTAAAGCCCTTTCAGTCGTGATCCGAAAAACATTTAGAATTTTCAAAAATTTTTCACAGTGTTAAGAAAAACCGGTTTGAAATTTTTGATTTTTGGTCTAATTTCGAGCTGATTAGTAAGTTGGTTTGTATTTGCAATAGCTTATTTAAGCTTAATTTAAGCCGTGAAAACTTAGTTTTACTCAAGTAAAGGTAGTCTTTGGAGTTTTTTAGCGCAACTTTTGAAATCAAAAACTTGAAAATTTCCAAAAAATGTCTGCAAAAGTTTTGAAAAATTTTTGAAATTGTTTTCAAAATATATTTTTTTTCCTTTTTCTTGTCATTTTTCTTCAAAAACTGTTTTACAATTGACCTATTTTACTATGATTCTCAAATATGCTTAAGTTCTATTTTTTTTGTTCAGACTTTTTTTATCACAACATGCAGAAAAAAACGACACCAATTGGAGAAAACATTTTGTATTTTTTCAAGACTGTGGTCGGAACATTTTGTGCTACTTTTTTTTAGTCGTGCTTGGCACCTATGTTGATTTAATTTGAAACGTTTCTTCATCATAGGTGATTTGATAGTTTATTTCATTGTTGCAAAGGTCTTTCTTCCAGATAGTCCCTATGGGCATGGGCAGGGGGTTCCTGGTCGTCGGACATCGAGGACTGACTACTACGCTTCGCAGGGAGGGGTACCCAATGGTAGAAAATCGTGCAGACATCAGTCAACTGGGGGCTCACCTGTCTTCAGGTAAAACAATTACAAAAATAACAAATGACCTTCAGTAAGGTGTTAATTTTAAGTATTTTAGGTTTATTTTTCACGCAAAAATTAGGTACCACAGGGCACAGATAATCATCTGAGTGGATCGAGTGATATCTCATATAAAAGCCCTTTCAGTCGTGATTGGGGTGACATTTGAAAAAATTCAAAAAATTGTCCAGTGTCGAGAAAACCAGGTTTCAAGCGAGTATAAGACCTCCTCGCTCGCGTTACTGGCTCAAAATTGAGAATATATAAGCTAATCGAAGTGTAAAACAACCGAATATGCACTGAGTATGTAAGCCAGCCGAAAAGTTATGAACGAATTTGCATAACCTTCAAAACTGTAACATAATTGTTAAATAAGTTTCGGCTGGTTGATACTCCGGCTCGTTTATATGCCACTCTCAAAAAAATAAAACTAAAAATTTTCACTTAGTCATTTAAAAACTTAGTATTATCTGGTGAAACTAATATTGGAAGCTTTGAAACTAAATTTAATTTTGTTTGATCCTTTTTAGAGGGCAGTTTTTGTCGATTAAGTTTTATTCTATTTCACTAGCGATCTATGTGTTTCTATAGTTCTCTCATCACTCCACACACAAAAAAACAATGGTATTTTTATTTTCTTAAAATAAATATGGTTGGAACGTTATGTGCTACTTGCACAGTAAACGGCTATGTTTTTGTAGTTGAATGATATTAAGCTAAGATATTAATGAAGTTTATGGGTGTGACAGGGCGGGTGACCATGGGGAGAGGAGAGAGAGTGGGTACCATTCACATAGGCACAGACACAGGCACTGCAGTCAGGGTGCCCCTCACAGACACAGGTCCCCCTCCGACCCACAGAGTAATGGGGCAGTCACACCCACGGAAGACGAGCAAGAGATGCCGCCACACCCCCAACACCCCGATCTGATGGGAGCCGCACCACCATCTGCACCTCAACCCAGATCACCACCACCCGTAGGAGAAAACAGTGACGTCTCATATAATATACATGCCACACAGTATAACCCCCATTACCTATACTTTTCAGTAATTTCGCTGAAAAATTCCCAGCTGAAACAAACTCGCTGAGAAACGCCCGTTATTTGTGTTGCGTATTTTCTAAGTCAGAGCTCGACCGGAACGAAATTTCGAAGAAGTATACGGAATGCTATCTCACCATAAGTACGGGACTTCATGAGGTTCTGCCATTTTCGTTGCAGGATATGCAGACCATTGTGAATTATGATCAAAGAACACTCTCAAGATATCGAGTGCAATATCATATTAAAGCCCTTTTATTCGTGATTCGAATTCCAAAAAAAGTTTCATAAAAAGTGTTCAGATTGTTTTCATATTGAGTTGGGGGAATTGTCTGCTTTGTTTTTTCTAACCAATAAATACTTCATTGAATTTTGTATAAAAAAAACTGCTCGGAAGATACTAAAACCAATTTTTTTTTTTCAAAATATTTTCTTTGAAACCATAATTGTGGATTGTGGTTGGATCACTCAGTGCTATTCAGTGCTTTTAATACAATGCTGATTCATTATTTAAAAAAAGAAGCGAGCAAATGTTGATTTTTTTCCAAGGAGAAAGCTAACTGAATTGTCTCAACTTAGTTTATTATTCGGAGTAAAACAAGCGTTTTGCATTAACCAGGCGCTAACTAGCAAACCCAGCAGCTGGTTTAAATCTTGGTTCAAAGCGCCCAAAAAAGACGTCCATTCCGCTCCCCCAAGTGAACCCCCCAGTCCAAATAGACCACCCACTCCACCTGCAGAAGATCCCACCTGTGCCAAGCCCAAGTGTCAATGCATGTGTAAACGCACCTCCAATGGGGCAGGGGGAGGGGGAGGGGGAGGAGTGAAGTCACCGCCTGGCCGGGGACAGAGAGGAGCCAGCGAGCCCCACATTACGAGTCCCCGAAAACACTGTGAGTTCAAAGCCAATCATAGATCTCTTCAACAATAGCCTCTAATATAAAAGACAGTGACATGGGATGATTTGTTATTAGATTTAAAAAACGCTTAAATTTTCCCTCTATAAGGGATGGAGTTTAAAGACTAAATTAGAATACAATGGCGCCAGAGGCGGATCTAAGATTTTCTTGAGGGGGGGGGGGGGTCGGACTTTCAAAGAAAATGAAAGTTTTACCGACCTTTTTATAGGAAAATCTTAGATGCACCATTGGTGTATATAATTAATAGGCCAAAAAGCTTTAATATGATAATATCTAATCATGATTGCAAAATCGGTTCGTAAATAAGTTCTTTTTCTCTTGGGTGAACGTTTAAAAACTAATAACAACGTTTAATGCCGGCAAAAACAAAAATGGACAGTTTGTTCGAGTCAATTTCAAGTCTCGTGAGCCAATTTATCAATTTAAGCCCACAGTTGCAATAAAAGAACATCTGCAGCAGAGCCATCCCGTCGCGTAGCCAGCAAAAGTGCCGCCAACAACCTTCACATGGGGCTTCCTGCACAAGGCCAGCTAAACAGCGCCTCCCCTCGGGGATCAAGGGACCGGGGCAGCAGGGGAACACATCCGGGAGGTCATCAGCACCCACATCCTCACCAGGCGGATTACAACAGCAACGACCAGTCCTCCGCAAGGGCATCCGGACATAGCACCAACAGACAGTCGGCCAACCCAAATCCAAGGTAAACCTAGGTTAACTGAGAATAGCGTTTCATAGTTTCATGACTAGCATTCTCCGTCAGGGGTGGATCTAGTGTTTTCTCAAGAGGGGATTTTCAAAAAAAGTTCCAAACTCTTAATGAACTTTTTTTAGGTCGACGAAATTGATTTTCCGAGCTCTCTGTATCTTTATAAGACCATATGTTGACAAAGTTGTCTGCGCCGCAGGCAGAATTTAGACAAAAAAAAAACAGGCAAAAAAAGCAATTTCAGGCACTTTTTGTAAAATTTTAACCAAAAATTTTTTTTGGGGTGCGCTTTTCCTCAAAATTAGTATATATTGGCGCCGAAAGGCCTCTTTAAAAAATTTTGAATTAGTCAGCCAAAACTAAATATCCTAAAATAGTACAAAAGAGCCATTAATGTCGGCAAGGGGTCAAACTCCTGAGAAGGGGAGGGGCTTTTGCCCCCGCCGCTTCCTTAATCTGCTTTTGTTCTCCGTACAGAACATTCATTGCTCGGAGTGAAATGTAAAGACACCAAAAAGAATTTACTACGTATAAAATCTGAACCAATTATCTAAAGTCTAAGAAATCTCTACTTTCTACTTCGTATTTTTATTTTGGAATTAGCCAATATTGTGTTTTGCTAAAGAATTTTAATATACCATAAATTTTGAAGTGAAAAAAAAAATAACACGTTTCATTTTCAAATATCATCTTTTAGTCATTTTCAAATTTTGTTTCAGAAACAACTCCGCGACACGTCCAGCTCAGTCGCGACTACCCGCCGAGCCCAAAACATCGGGTGCAGGAACTTATGGAAGCATGAGTTACCAGTCAACTGGAAACAAAATGCGTCCAGGACCCAGTGCCTCTGGAGCCTCTGGAAGCGTTTCCAGGAACCAGGGGTCGGTAGGAGGACCGGTGGAGAAAACGAGTATGGTCACCTCGGCCGGAGCTAGGCCGACTGCAGCCTCGTATCGAACGACTGAACACGATTCGGATACCGAATAGACGGCAAAAAAGATTGTTTAATCGTTGCAATCTGGGTTGGAAAAAAGCATAGAAACAAACAGAAACAACAATGATATATAGAATTTAGTTGATAATAAATTTTTCAGAGAGATAATTTTTTAGCTGATAATAAATTTTTCAAGGATATCTGCCAAAATTTATAAGAGGCTCTGTTTCACTCCGCAATCGACTAAATTGGCAGCTAGGGATTTTTTAAATAAAGGAAATACCTTTTCTACTTACGCCCTTTTTAAAAAAATCAGGCCAAAATTTCTTTGTCTGTTAGTTAATTGTGATCAATCTTTTACACTCCGATAATTTCAACATGGCTTGTTTTGGTGATTTTTGGTTGACATTTATTGATTCCTTTTTCATTGTAAAATTTTTAAATATTACAATGAAAACTCATTCTTAAAACTGCCTTATTTTGAAACTCAATTTTTGTGCGCACGTTTTTATGATCTTCAATAATTGATGATATTTATTTCATCATTTCTGCATTGAAATTATATTCCCTTCGTTGGTGTTTTTTTTTCAAAAGAAAGCACTTAAAAAAGAATTGAAATGAAGAGTTTGTCATTAAATCCTTACTTAAAACTTGATCAATCAAATGAGAAAGCTTCCTCGAACGATTCTGAGAGTGAGAAATTTCTACAGGTTAGCTTTAGACTTACTCAAAAAAAACATCGTTTAATATTTTCACAAGCAAATTTCTGAAAACGTGCGCGCACCTTTGTAAGCTCTCAAGCTTACCAGAATACATTTCTTGAACAAGATAACAAATATGTTTTTTTTGTAAGTTTTAACGAATTTCCTGTCGGACTTTATAAAAATAAAAATCCTGTTGAGCAATACTGCATTAGGCGTTACATCTGCAACTGTTACGTTTTTTGCAGGCTGCAATAATATGGGTTTAACACACACAACAATCAAAATAAGCTCGAGTTTTATCAAACAACATCAGATTTGCACTCTTTTTTGATATTTAAAAATATTGCGAAAAAGTGATCTTGAAGTTTTCCGAGCTTATAGGATTTTTAATTGACTGCTCGTATCAGTATGAGGCCTAACAATTTTCGACCACGCGCATTCAGTAGCTTTGGAGCAAAGTTTTGATGAAAATTAAAACAAAGTCATTTCAATACGCAATTAAAACCTTTCGACTACGCAAAGTCAAACAGACAACCTCACATTTTCAAATTCGCTGAAAATTAATTCCCTGATCAAAAGTTTATAATTTTGACAGTCTTTAATAGTCGCGGTAAAAGATTCGAATTATCAAGTTTTGTATAATCGGATACTAGTTGCGATAGTATAGGATTTAGTCTCGATCACTTGAAAATTAGACGTAATCTTACAAAAATTAGCCGCCTATAGTCTAAAAAATAGTCGCCAAACGCATCCAATTTTAGGCTTAAGATATCAAATATAACCAATTGTTTTTTTTGACAAAAAAATTGATTTATTTTTAAAATAAATTTTAGGCATTTTCAAGATTTATAATCAGTTATAATTTTGATTTTTTCCGAAATATTATAATAATTGAAAATAGATTTAAGAAAAAATTTCCGAAACTCAACTATTAACAAATATATGACAACATAATTCATAACAGCAAATACAATGAGAATAAATTAAATCAGCTTTTATTTTGTTTAAAAAAATTCGGCCTGCAGTCTATATTCTAAATTCGACCGGAAGTACTCTCGGCTAAATGCCCGGTCGGTACCTGGATAATCACAAAACTCCGGGTTAAAAAAAACAGCAAATGGTATAAAATTAAATTCCTTTTGTAAATAGTTTTTTGTGGACGTTATATTGTTTTCAAGTATAATGCATTGCTACCGATTTGAACTAAAGGAACTTAAAAAAAAAGAATTATAATCAATTATAATCGTTTGTATTCGATTCACAAGAGATTTAATTAGTTTCATAAAAACAGTAACATTTTATTCTGCTTTTACTTGATTATATCAACTATTTTAAATTTTTATTCAGACAAATTAAAAAATATCATATAATCATTTATCATCTACTCTTGGAACTGGGTGCGTGGATAGTAAGGACAGAAAATATTGCAGTAGTTAGCTTAATTCAATCAAAAGGAAAAGTCATTAATTCTAGCTAATCTGTTTCGCTTCTATTTACAATTTCTGTTCCAACCCATTGAAAAATGGGGAGACACATTGTATTTGGGTGTGTTTTAATTTTTTTCCCACGCAAAATCAGATACCACTAATAATCATCGGAATGAGTCGACTGATATTTCATAATAAAACCTTTTCAGTCGTAATTCGTAACGACCTTAAAAATATGAAAATTTTTTCTCAATGTTGAGAAAAACCAGTTTGAGGTTTTTGATTTTTGGTCTAATTTCCAGCGAATAAAGTGATTGAGCTAGTTAGGTGAATGAGGTTAGTTTTAAGTTTCAGTCTAATTTCTAGCAAGTAAAGCAAGCAAGCAGGCGTACAATAGCTTATATATGGTTAATTTAGTTCGTAAAAACTTCGTTTTACCCAAGCTGCAAATTTATTTCCGAAGTAAAACAATCCAAATTTCAGGGAAACGTTTTTCTACTTTTGGTCACAATTTCGTTCTCATGCTCCTTTAAAAAATTTGCCTGCAGAAACTTATAGTTTTGTCAATTACGTAGTCCAGGATAAAATTTAACATGCAACTAAACTAGAACTGACCATGATTTTTTTGCGAATCAAAAACTTGGAAATTGTATGCTCTTATATGGAAAGATATACTTTAATCTAACAAAACAATCAGATCAGACCACAATTTTTGACCAGTAACTTTTTGATTTTTCTTTTTTCAATTTTGTTTTTGTTTTTTTTTCTAGTCATTTTTCGACAAAAACGGTTATTCGATTTGCCTATTTTACCGTGACTGTGAAATATACCTAAAATCAATTTTTCTTTAGATCCTTTCATCACACCACGCAAAAAAAACAATAATAATTTGAAAAAAAAACTTGAAAAAAAATGTTTTTTTTTTTAAAGAATATGGTCTGAACATTCTGTGCTTCTTGTACAGCAACCGACTATCCTTGGATTTTTGCTCAATGTTCGGTTTCACTAATGACGAGTCCTTTCAATCGCATCTATGTCAATTTATTTTCACTATGAGTCTCAACTACTTTCATCATTCGATGTATCAAAATATACCAACAAAGTCTATACAAATTTTGCTTTGGTCGCACCGGTTGCTATCAATTTTTCTTCTGTCGAGCCTCTCACATTTAATTTTCTTCAGTCGCACCAGTCACAGTCTTCGTCCGCGACTGTCGCGCCCGTTTTGGAGCATTTTTCTTTAGTCGTGCCGGTCGAAAGTGCACCTTCTTGGTGAGAAGAGTCTGAAATTCTGAATTTCGCGCAGTGGTCTGGAAATACCCAGTTTTTTTCGCAATAGTCTTTATATCTTTATTTTCTGTATATCGAATTAGATATAAAGATTTCGAGACGTTGCTTCAAATAGGCAAGCTAACTCGACCCGATTAGCAATTAAGTTCGAATGGTTTCTGAGCTATATAGGTGTGTTTTGCTGATTAGGTTAAATAAACTTGTTTTGTTTAACTTTAGCGTCAACTGCATCTCATGTTCCCATATGTCCCTGAAATGGAGAAGATCTCAACTCAACTACCTCTGAGGCAGGAGCTGCCCTCGCTTTGGGATGAGATTGAAGGCGAGATGGCCTCAAGGGGGGCGAAGTTTAACACTCTCTGTCCAATCAGAGCCGAGATGCACCGGATGCTGTTTGATGAGTTGATCCGACAGATTGTGGTGATATTGCCTCAACAAGGTAAGATGATCTAGAAAGGGGACGGGGTTGCTCAGGTGCAGTTTGTGAAGATAGTTTTAATGGACATTTTTTTAAGTGTTATTAACCTTGCGATAAGCTAATCGCGTATTGCAATCGCGTACTAGACTTTTTTCCCGTAAACAATTTTGTTCACAGAATGGTCATTTTAGTACGAATAGTAAATATCTGATTTGCTCAAATTCTAGAAATTCAAATAAAACTACCATCATTTAAATTGTAATCAAGTTTGAGATTGTAATTAATTTTTCAAAAAAAAAATTTTGTTTGGGTTTGTGGTTTTCGTCCTAGCTTCTGTTGGTTCATTTTCCGTTTTTTAAACGCATATTTTTTTATCTTTCAGAATTTTTATTGGATGGCTTGCTTACAAAGCATGGTTTTTATTCCAATTAAAGTTTTATTACTATAACTAAATTCTTACTATTCTTGCCATGTCTGATTTTGCGCAATTTTTTTTTCGTTTTTGTTGCAAAAATATTTAAGCAGATTGTGATTTCATTCTTGGCATCTTATATTGCAAAATTTTGAGCACAAATTATGAAATTATGTGCTTCAGTATGGTTGGGTCGTAAGAGTTTTCAAAACTTCATGAAACTTTTCATGACAACAGTTTTGTTTCTTGCTCTACAGGTTTTGATTTGAAATTATTGCCTTTGTTACCCATCGGTGTATGATTTTCATTTTTTTTCAGGTTGTTAATGAATGTCATCTGAAACAACCATAAAATTTTTGTAGCAGTAGTTTCACAACTTTTTCAGGTACTAGTTTTTAAAAAGTTTTTCAAGCTACTTTAAAACTGACTGCTGTGTTTTGCCACAGGTTTTCATCAAAATGAGTTTCAGTTTGAAACAAACATTTGAACATTTCGGGTGCAGTTTTTAGTCGGTGGCTTTGTTTATTGCAAGTGGTGCGGATCTCAGCTTTGCATCTGTGTTTTTAATTACGAGGTTTAACTGTGTATTTTGACGATGTGAAGTGAAATCTGCAATAACACCGCTATCTTTGATTATTTTTTTATCTTGTTTTTTCTTTGATCATACCGTTAGAGTTTTAACATTCCGGGTTAAACAAAAATGCTTGTCATACAAACTTCATATACAGAAAATTGCTTATCATGCAGTTTTGTATAATTCGATACGTACAAAAAATTATAAAACTCTACCTAGCATATATATTCCGTTGCTTTAACGAAACAAAAGTTATCATAGATTGAATTTAAAAACCTGAAGAGTTAAGAACACCAACATAAAACTTGCTTTTGATTATGCAAAAAGAACCTTGATTTAAGTTTATCAAAAACGTACTCAGCCTTCTCAGTGGTTTTGCGAAACAGTTTTAACTTGACGTCCTTGCTACAAAAAAATACAATTCTCTTATCCATAATAAAGTTTTAAGTCAGAGGATTTTGTTCACCGCTTACAACCCTTAAACGCATTTATTTTTTTTTTCAAATCAATTTGACCAACTTTTCAAGATTGTGTAGATGATTGTCGATTTCATGTGACAAAAACATCCAAATTCAAATGTTTTGAGACAACTGAATAACTAGCGTATTCTAACAGCCTGAGCTGATCAAAAATGATTGTCTTACAGTTTTCCGATATGAAAAATTGTTTATCATACAATTTCGATCAATTATATACGTACAGGAAATGATTTTTAAAAAATTCTACGATGAGCGTGTTTTTTATGTCTGAAAACTCCATGACAAGCATTTTCCATAAATCAATTTTTTTAATGTTTCTTTTTGAGTTTTGCTGAATATGATTGTGTTTTTACGTTAAAAACCTCATTGGTTGCGGGAAAAAGATATCACAGAAACTCGGCATTTGATAAGAATCCTATGAGATAAAAATTCAAGATTAACTCAGATCTATGAATACAACCCGTAAGCTTTTGTATTTTTCTAAACTCTTAGAAAACAAAATTCATGGCTTGATTTGTTCAAACAAACATAAAAGCAATACAAATTTCTAGTTTTGATTCAAGCTGAAAATTTCAGTCATTTTTGTTTCTTTTGTATAAAAAACTCAGCCTGGATTAAGTTAAAGACAAAAATAACAAATTTGTTTATGCATTATTATTCGAAAAACGCTTACTTGAGCATGCATATGATATTGTTAGTAATATTGAGAAACAATCATGTTTTCTTTCAAATCTAGCGTTTTGAAAACTGACTGAATTGTCTCTGGCTGAATTGCTTGTATATTTTTGGCTGAAATGTCTGAACTTAAAATTGACTGAATTGCTGTTAGCTGAATTGTCTGAGCGCCGGAGTTTATTGATAAGCATTTTTCGTGTATGGAGGTTAACCGGAAATTTTTAAAGATTTGTCTTTTGATTCCACTCCCCTAAATACGTGCATATTGTGCTCTTGTCCACTGCACAGTTTGGCCTCTCAAGGAAAATGAAATGCTAAAAGATGCTTAGAAAATTCATTTTCCAGATTCGAAAACTAATCCTGAAAGAATTTAATTTGATAACGCTTATTCACTCGTTTTACTTGCTCAAAATAGGATTGAAAAGCATAAGTGTGCTTTTCTCGCTAATGAGCAAGCACTCGGCAAATTTTTAAACGCTTTTTGAATTCCGACTGAAAATGCCTTGATTTGATATACAACCCGATCTATTCGGATGATCGTCTGTGGTACTTGATTTTGTGTAGAAAAAAGCAGAAAAAAATACATCCAAAGACAAAAATCCTTTCCACTTTCAGTGATCGGAACAATAAAAAAAAATACAATTTCTTAGTTGGCTTGCAACCAACGCAAGCTCTAATTTCGATTAACGCGGAAAACATGTAACAGGCCTAAAATCACCGACAGAGCTCAGCCGAAATAATTATCGACTAATAATATGTGTAGGTGAGCTTTTGTGGCGAGTGCGTAAAGAGAGTGAGCAGACAGTTGATACGTGGAAGGAATTGTGTGCTGGTGGACAGAACTACGGCAACAGAGTGTACACGAAGATAGATCCCAATGCACACACTCATTTCACTCAGGAAAGTACACCCCCCACACCCCAACCCATCTAACCAGCTGCTCAGTTCTTTCCTTATTATCTGAACAACATTTGGGCACATTTTGCGTGGCATAGCGAAATCCTTGAAGAGCTTCGAGTCTTTCTTTGTGAAGAATTTTCGCCTCACGAGCTCGTCTCTATTATACATATTGGTACCCAGGGCCCTTTAAAAAACTTAGGGCTGTTAGACGAAAAGGGAGACTCTCCTGTGTCCTCTCCTGTTCTTTTCCCCTCTCCTGTTCTTTTTCGCTCCTGTTCTTTTCTCCCCTAAATCAGACCCTGATTAATAGTTCATTTATGGCACAATTTCACTGCAGCATGTTGCTTCTTTTGTTTTTCTAAAAAAAAATTGTTCTCATTAAACTTTCAGCCCCTTCCACGCCTAGAACGTTTTGGTTGCATTGAGTCTAGTAGTTCAACATGAAATCCAAATACACGTCAGCTCAACACTTTTGTTTCTTATCAAAGTTTTACCCAACTTCTGTAAATCCTACCATTTATATAGACTCTTTAATTTGCGTATTTGCAAGCGAATGTCTAAAAATAGGCGTTGACCATTTGCCCTGGTCACTGAATTTGTACTATTCCTATCCGTGTTAGCCATTTTTTAACCCAAAATTTAAAAACATATAAAAAACCGTTTCTTCCGAAGTATATTGTATGACTTTTAGTTTCTGTATAAAATGTTTAAATTATCACCAGAATGAGAATAAGCAAAAAATTTGATTTAAACTTTCTCTTTTTACAGAAGTGTAGAGCGATACAAGGACAGATACATTCTCTGGAGAGACAGTTGGTGGCACTGAGAGCCAGATACAACTTCGCCATCCGACTCAGAGACGAGCAGATCGGAGTGGAGGGTAAACAATTCATACTGACCACGATCATTCTCAATTTTTATCCCCTCGTATCATTTCGTAATTTTAAAAAATAGCGGAATTTTTTTTTGCGCGCAGTGATGTTTCTGCTGAAAAGTATATGCTCAGATACTTTATGCACATTCTCTTGAGAAGATTTTTATGACGAAAATGATAAAACTTACGAGCAGATTTGAGGCAATTTCTTTCATTATCATCTTAGAAATACATCTGCTATGAATGAAAACAAAACTAAGGTTTGACTACCCTTTTTGTCGATTTTTCAAAGAGGTTGTACATATTAACCGAAAACAAAAACAAACCCATCAGGCAAATTTTTGACTAGAAGTCGTGTTGGTGAGGCTAATAAGTCCCAAGACGGCATGGCAAAAAAAAGGTAATGAAACTCCAGAGCCGGTTGTCGGTTTAAGGTCACCTGCTGGCGCGTTATAAACGTGTTGGCACTTCGTGGCAAAAACCAGCTCTAACGATTCTTAAAGGTCCTGCCCACGGTTGGCAAGCTTGCAATACGTTGGTGCGACTGCCGCGATTACTATTTGCTGTTTGATTGTGCTCGTGACTTGGTATGCTAGTGCTGTAACAATAAAACCCTATTTCTGCTAAATTTTACACTATTTCACCCAATTTTCCGCCTAAAATTAACGATTCTGTGTACCAAAAGTAGTTTTTGACTGTAATAGCTGCACCCACCGGATGTGTTGATATTCTGGACCTTATCAGTTTTTACAGTAAGCAAGAAAAGGGAATCGATTATATTCAGACATATTAATACACGTGAGGCTACAATTCGACGAAAGCAACGATTCGCAGCATTTTTAAATCAGCAACGAGTCGCAGCGACAATTGGCAGCACGATTTAATTTCTGATTGAGGGATTAATGCACCATGCGAATTAAAGTTGCGGGGATTAAAGTCCAGCAAGTGGTCAAAGTTCCAAATTTAGCAAAAATTTTAAGTTAAATGCCAAGTTGAAATGAATTAACAGTAAAGATAAGAGTAACTGAACGTTAGTTGCATCTAAGACACCGTTGTTTCAATTCATTCGCCCGAATTTCATCTTGCAAATCATTATACGAAAATGTCTTTAATCTTTATCATGATTGAGCGGAGAAAACAACAATTTGTCCACGATGGAGAAATTTTCAACCTAAACCGTTATAAAGAACTGATAAACCTAGCTGCTCATGAGTGTAGAGACTGTGTAAAATTTCTGTTACCACCATCGCAGATGAAATAGTCAGCTTATTCCAAAAACATGGCCACGAAAATATTCCATGCGACGAAGAAATAAAAAACTGAGTAAATTGTTCAAAACTTTTTTTGCTTTGTGCGCTAACTTAAGCTTTCAAAGTTGAGAGTTTTCTAATTTTAATTTTTTGAAGGCGTTGGTATTTGTGGTGGGAAACTGGCCATACTCAGAGGAACAAAAACGTAACCCTCGGACAGGCTAATTTTTTAAAGACCCGGGGTATTTTTTGGGTTGATTAAAAATTATTTCTTGTACTGTTTAAAATCTGTGAACTTTTAGGGTTGAACGTGCCATCAAATTGAAAGGAAAAACAAAATAGGAGCCTCCCTGGATCATTCGTCTAGAGAAAAGTGGGGATAGTAGCCTCAAAACAGTTGTTAACGTGCCTAAGTACAAGTCACTCGCCAATATTGTTCAACGGCAACGAGCAACTGATTCCACCTCCACTGAAAAAGAGACATTGCTGCGCTTTTGGAGCTAAGCAAGACCTTGAGGGGTGACATTTTTCTTCTTTTCGACTCGGGGTTGAATGACAATGACCGAATGCTATTATTTGCCTCCAACGAGAACTTCGAAATTTTGGAAAGCAACACAGGCCGCAATAGTTTATCAAATTTTCACAATTCATGCATTGGTTAATGATCAAACTGTTTCAAAAAATTTGGAAAGCAACACAGGCCGCAATATTTTATGAAAGTTTTACAATTCATGCAAAGGTTAATGATCAAACTGTTTCATAATGATCAAACGGTGAAAAATTGAAAAGCAATACATGCGGGCCTTCAGACAGTTGAAAAAAATCAACCCAGGATTTTTGCGCTCTCAGGTTGTGGTAGATTTTAAGAAGGCTTAAATTAACGCCTTTCAGAAGGTATTCAATCGAGTAACTATGAAAGATTGCTTCTTTGATTTTGCTCTAACCAATTGGCGCAAAACTCAAGCAATTGGGTTAGCACCAATTTATCGAGAAGATAAGAAAACGCACATGCTTCTAAAGTCATTTGTTGCTCTAGTACTAAAACCTGAGCTGGACTTTGAAATCCGTAGGGCTGCTTTATGCTTTGAAATTTTAGACAATTGTGATGATGAGTCCCCCTTATTGGGTTACGTGGGTTATTATGAATCAACTTGAGTTGGAACCATCCTCTGAGGATGCAGACGGGTTGGGCAATTCTCTACCTCACTCTGAAACCAGTTCCAAAACGCCAAAATTCAAAAAAAACCAACAGTACGGTCGAGGGATAGCATAAAACCTTCCAGATGAGGATTGCGTGTACTCACCTTACCATTCACAAATTTATTCAATTCCTGAGATAATAACGAAAACTGTCGGAGAACCAGTTGTTGGGAATAACGGCTGGACAAAGTGCCGCCATTGTGGCAAAATACAAAAAAAACAAGCCAGATTAGTTTAATTCCTTAAACATTACAGCAAAAATGATGTTCTCAAACAACTGGAGGGCCTGTCGTTTAATTTTGATTTTCATTGTTTTTGTTCTTTAATTTAAAACTTTCATTTAATTTCTTTTGATCTGATCAAGGCTTCCACCGCTACTGATTGTCGCTTGCTACGAGTCGTCGCGTTCTGCGAATAGTCGTTTTTTATTAATGCTACGAATGGTCACCTGCTGCGACGAATTGTCGCCATGCAATTTAGACGCACCCTCTACCCTTCAAGAGTTCGACACCCTGACCACCATTTGTTATCTTTTACCACATCCATTTTTGGCAGACCAGTTCTAAAAAAAATTATTTCTTCGAAACCTTCCAAAATGGGCTCCAAACAACTGTTTTTTTTCCTTAGTTTTTTGCTGGAAAATTCTCAAAACAAGTTTTTTATAATGTTAGAGAAAAATCGGAGAATCGGTTTGGATGATCCTTGAAAATGGCTGAAGAAAATGAATTTCTTTTTTGCATCTGCACTTGAATGATTAAAGCCTTCAAATAAAAAATTCCTTAAAGTTTTTAGCATTGAAAAAATCATACTATGGTCAGAGCAAATTGGCGTGCCCAAAAACAGCGACGATCCCAAAAACACTACTTCTTCCAAAAATTGCAAAACATTCCACGAAGCTATTTTATTTGCGCTGATGAAAGTTTCTGTCCTCTTTGTTCCAGGTAACCAGATATATACGCATTTTCAACTCAATAAATCGCTCCTCACAGTATAATTTTTCTAATGAAATGTTTTTTTTTATCAGCATTGAACATAAAATAACTCAAACACCGTCTGAGTTTTTCAGTAGCGACTAGTTTTGGAGGCAATTCACAAAAAAGTCTCGAAAAAATATGCCAAACAATTCTTTCTAGTTGTTGCCACCAATAAAAAGTTAGCTGCACATTTTGCTTTTGGGTTTCAAAGCAAAATTTGCGTCTTTTTACATCAATTTTGAGGAAACGCGTATGCCGAGAAACCTCAAGCAAACTGTTGGGCACAAATTTTCAAAATTTAAAGATAGAGCGTGTTGTGGGCAAGGCCTGGGAGGTGAAGATGGGTTATGAAAACACTTGCCAAAACGCCGTTTTCCGTCTTCTTTATTTGCTGGCCAAAATTTGATGTCACATATAGCTCCCATTTTCTAAGTTCAAGCATTTTTATCCGAATAAATTAGATCTTTGAGATTTGAGAGTAGCAAGCCTTCCGATTAAAACAACCAAACGAGAACTGGTTTGATAAACTTTTGTTCAGGTGAAGATCTGAAGGAGGCCAAACAAATGGAGGCTGAGAAACGACAGCAGTACTCGGATCTGATTGGTCACTTGAAGAAGTTTGATTTGGACGAACAGACGGGAGGGAAAACCAAACAGCAGCTGCCGAAGTTCAAAAGATTGAAGGACCTCGGCATTGTAAATAATAAGCTGACTACTCCAAAGGGACAAAAACATATCAGCTTCGCTAAGACTCAATAAAACGAGTTAATAATTTCTCAAAAAGTGTTTCTAATAGTTCGTTAAAACTACTGCCTTAATATTTAATGAAACCAAATCAAACTTGATTCTGTTCAAATTCAACGTAGTTCAGCTGCAAGGAAGATTAAAATTTGTTAATTGATGTCTAATAATTGAACTGAATTGGAACATGGTTGAATGCTCTGGCTGCCGTTTAGTTTATTATGTCTGTATTCAGGGGCGAATTTAGAGGGGAGGGGAGGGGGGGCGGACGCCTTCTTTCCTTCAGGCATTCCACCCCATGCCGACCCAAAGGGTCCCCCTTTGAACTATTTTGAGATGCCCTTTTTTGGCTGAATGCCCCTGAAATTTTTCTTTGGCGCCAAAATATACTAAATTTGAAGGGGGAGCGCGCGCCGAAAAAACGCAATTTTTTGGTCAAAATTTTCCAAAAAGTGCCTAAAAACGCCTTTTTTGGCCTGTTTTTTGAAAAATTTGGTCAAAATGGGGTCTTCATAGTGATTTGGGAAAGCTCAGAAAATCAATTTGGTCGACCTAAAAAAAAATGGTCGACAAAATTTTCAAAAACGTTTTGAAAATCCCCCCTCGAAAAAAATCCTAGATCCGCCCCTGTGTGTATTAGTTTTTGAAGAAGGTTGAAACTCAGTCAGGAATTATTTCCTCAATTCAATTTGGAATAATTTTTTGAGCCAAGGAACTATTCTTTGAGCACATTTGCAATAACTTATTGAGCCAAGTTTTTTTGCGTTACGGACATGGTAATGCCGCATTGCATTAGCACTGTGGGTTCCATGATGTCTGAAGGTGGTGGGCTCCTGAGGCGTAAAGTAGTAGAGTAGTCTCGGACTAATGATTCGGTTAATGAAACGGAAGTTTAAGTTTATAAGGTGCACGGGTCGAGGTTTGCCATTTATGTTTCGACGCTATAGTCGAACTCTGTATGGGTGGCTCAAAGTCTGTATGGGTAGCTAGGCAACTTGCTAACCTTTGATAATCTAAGCTTGTGGTAACCTGGCAACGACAACAGTGCAAGCACATTTGTGGCTCAAGTGGAAATGTTCAAGTATTTTCAGACTAAATAAGACGAATTATGAGTACAGACTGATTTTCCTCAATAAATTTCTACGACAACTTTAGCGTTTATTTAGCAAATTTATTCCCCCATTTTACCATTTTTTTCTTTTTTATTAGTCCTCTACAAAAAATTACGAAAAATAGAAGGGAGAAGGAAAAACGTTTAAGCATAAATACAAAAACTGTCGAGTAGTTTTCAAAACTTTTTGTAGCAACCATCTCTTGTTGCTGAAGTTGTTTTTTAGAAGCATGCTTGAGTTACAACGCTATCGTTTTCTTCAAATTCTTACAAGGCAGATGAGTCTTGAATTCGAATGCAAAAAATTTGTGCTTAACACAGTCAAAACCCAAAAATAGGTTCTAAAACAAGCGCTCATTAAAAAAATGGAGATTTGCATCATTGTTTGAAATAATGAACCTTGAATCCACCAACAATTTTGTCTAGTACACAGATAAAACACTCTTGCCAAGCACGGTTCAAAGTGATGGCTAATAACACAAATTGATTGTTTTTTTGACTCGCATGTTGTGAATTGCACAATTTTGAATTAGATAATCACGTATTACAAGTTCCAAAACTTTTGAAAAATCAATCAAGTACCGTCAAATTTTCGTTTAGAGTTCAATTTTATCTACAAGTTTATGATTTTAATGGCATCTACAGTACTTTCTCAGCAAAGTATAAATGAAAAGGTTTTATTTTTTGAAAGATTGAACAAGAGTCATTTCCTATGTCTTGCATATCTCGTACTCAAGAAAGATTTTCAACCGGATAGAAGTTTCATATCGATAGTTAACATAATTGGCTGTGTTTCCTGTATAGAAACTATTTATTTCTAACACTATAAATATACAATGTTTAGAACAAATAATCTAAAATGAGTTTACTGCTCAACCGCAACGAGGTAAATGCTTTTTTTATATCTTTGAGTATACACAAAAATCGTAGCATTACATTGCAAAGTGAGAGTTGTTATAACGAGTGTTACGTTGCATTCCATCTCTACGACTTTTATTAATTGTCATGTACCTAGTGGTTAACACACACGTCTATCAGGGGTACGAGCCCCAGCAGGGGTGCGAGCCCCAATTTTGCGAGTTTCTGATGAGAAAAAGACCAGAAATAACGATTTTCAGGAAAATCTATGCTTTTTATAGAAAAAAATCCTAGCCAAATATTTAGATGAAAAACTAAGTATTGCTCGCCAGCAATAAAGGATGTTTTTGGTACGGGAGAGTATTTGATCACTAAAAATACCACAACTTTCGAATTTTTTTTCTGTGCTCAAAGGCTCGGTTTTGTTCATTTTTCCCTGTATTCAAATCATAACATTTATACTCTAAAACTTGTTATAAACTTATATATTCTGCATTTTGATATAAATTTAAGTTTTCAATTTTGATATATTTTCTCAAAAGAAGCGCTATAAAACACGAAGATTTTATGAAATTTGGTCCTGGAAAAAGTTTATGATTTCAAATAAATTCAATTAGGCAGCAATTGTTGCCATAAAAATTTCCTTCATCAGGACTCACAATTGAAACTTTACCTGATTGAGTTTTTTGGAAGGAATAAACGCTAGTAAATGCAAAAAAAACTCTATAACTTGAGATATCAAAGATAGAATTTTCGTTGTTCAAAACAAATAATAGCTAGAAATTGAGCAAAATTTTCGTTCTATAAAAATTGCGTTAACAGTTTTAAGCAACGTTTGCTTAAATTTGAAGAAGGTTTCTCAAAACTGATTTAGAATAGCTAAAATCAATGATAAACTCGTAAAAAGTACCCTTTTAACAACAGTTTAACAGCCGCTCACAATTGCAAACAGTACAGATAAAGTATGCTCAGTATCAGGGGTTGATCTAGAATTTTCTCGAGGGGCCGATTTTCAAAAAAATGAAGCATTTTAGACCTTTTTAAGTGGACCAACATGATGTTCGGAGCTTTCCACCAAAATCACAATGAAAACACTGTTTAGGCAATTTTTTGCGCGCTGCAGGCAAATTTTTAAACAAAAGCGCAAAAAAGGCATTTTTAGTCCATTTTTTTGGAAAATTTCGGCCAAATTTAATTGCTTTTTTTTGGCGCGCATTTTCCCTCAAAGTTAGTATATATTGACGCCGAAGGCGCTCTTAGAAAAATTTTAGGGGCAGTCGGCCAAAATGATATCTCAAAATAGTACAAAGGGGTACCAATTGGGTCGACAAGAAGTGGAATTCATGGGGGGCGACACCTGTTCACCACCGCTAAATCCGCTACTGCTCAGTTTGATGTTTATTTGTGACAGCAAAAATTTACTTTTTTTCTACTTTTCTCTATGTTAGTTTTGTTTTTATTCAAGAACTATACGATCGCGCAGAAAGTTAGCATATTAGGCATAATCGACACTATTTGTCTCCAAAAACTGGAAGGAAAAACAACTAATGAATCAATGAAACACTACAAAAGAAAACTTTTTCCAAGTTTTGCGCAATACTATTTAATGTTTTTAAAAATCTTTTTTTGCCGAACAAGCATAAATGAAACATCCAAAACAAGTCTTCTTTTTAGCAAAACCAAGTTTTATACGCTAAAAAATTTTTAGAAAATTAGTAAATATCCTTATAACGAGCGTTACTCGATCGCGTTATTCGCCCAAAATTAGACTAAGATTCAACAATTTCAAAACAGTTTTTGTCGTTACGTTTTGAAAATTTTCATTTTTGTTCGAATTGCGACTGAAAGTGCTTTAGCATGATAAATTACTTGCCTTGTTTTTGCTTGTAGTACCTGATTTGGTGTGGAAAACAAAAAGCAATAATCAAAACAATTTTCTCGTTTTCAAAAAGTCATGTTTTTAGACTGAATGTTTTCATTGGTCATTAAAAAATTAAAACCTGTCCGGCAAAAAAACAATCCCGAGACTAAACTTCTCATTTATTTCAAGAAATTTGGAACAGAATCGGCCAAAAATTAAAACTTTCGCTAACTGTTTTAATCTGCCCGTGAAAACAAATTAGAAGCGGGAAAATCAATTTTGTGCCAGCTATTTTTTTTTAGCGGGCACAAAATTTTTTAGCTGGCACACCTATCGTGCTTAAGTTTTAGAAAGGCCCCTGCTTACAGCTAAAAAAAAATCATTTTTCGAACTTTAATACTTCAAATTTATATCAAACATGCGAATTCAACAAAATTGAATAAAAAATGATGTTTCCTAAATTATGAAATCATGGTTTTTTTCCGCCGACTAAATCTGAAATGTAAAATTGAATGACACGCACTTTCGAGTTACTTAAGACTTCTTTTACGGTTTATTTTAACCTGCGCAAGTGGTGTAGTTAAATCTGTGAGTTATTATTACCATCGAAAGAATAAAAAAATCTTAGAGAATTTTGGTTTGTTCTGGCCATTTGTGGTTCATCAACCAACCTGTGACTTGAAATTTTTATTAATTTTCCCACTGATTGAAATTAAACAGAACACGGCAATACACTATTTGTGTTGGAACATACAGCGTCATCTGTTACCTTCGCTCCCATTTTTCTCATCACTTGTTTCTAAATAGCTGAATACATTTTTCAAAAGCTTAAGAAAAATTCGGCTACAATTTGAGTGAAATTGAGTAAAACTATCTAATTTGAACTTTATTTCATTTATTTGAAACATTTTTTGAAATTAACTTTCTTTTTATTTATTTTCGATCAAGTAAATAATCATACCCAATTGAGTTTTAAAAACCAAAGCTGAGAGGTCAAGCTTGGATGGTTTTCTGCCCAGCGCCCTTTAGCCTAATGGCAGGTTTGTTAGCCGAAATTCCCTTTATCCAATCAAAACTGCTCTTCATATTGCTAGTCATCATCAACAGGTGCGTCACCAAGAATGTTTTTTTTTGCTCACTGATTACTTGATAAATTAACTAAAACAAAACAAAGTGATTGATATAGAGGGCATTGGAAACCAATTTCGCTTTTGGATTTTTGGACAGGATCAGGGCAGATCTAAGAATTTCTCGAGGAGCGACGGATTTTCAAACATTTGTCGAGTTCTTTTTCGAGGCCCGCCATTTTCTTGTAACAAAATTTTCTGCATCGCATATAAAAAGTAGGTCAAATTTGCCGTTTTGAGCTTTTTCGACCCGCGTCTCCCTCAAAATTTGCATAAATTGGCATCAAAAAATTTGCATAAATTGGCATCAAGGTCGGTCGGCCGAAAATCGATATCGCAAAATTGTACCAAAGGGGATACCTTTTGATGGCAACGGGATCGAATCCCTGAGGGGGTGGGGCGTCCGATCCCCTCCCCTAAATCCGTCCTTGGACAGGACATGTGAACAACTAAATGGGAGATAACTAAAGAAAAGTCACGGCCGTGACAGGTTTTGGATTTTTGGTCATAAATTTTTTTTGGGCTGAATAATTTTTTGGGCTCATATTATTCGATGTAATCAGTAGCTTACCGGGGGAGCGGATTTACGGGGGAGGGGGCGGACGTTCCTTCCCTCAGGGATTGGACCCCCTGCCGACCCAAAGTGTCCCCTCTTTGTACTATTTTCAGATATCCAATTTTGGCTGACTGAAATCAAAAGTTTTTCGCCAATCTATACTGATCTTTAGATACTGACCTTTGGCGCCAATCTATACTGTTTTTGAGAGGGGAGCGCGCGCCGAAAAAACGCGATTTTTTAGTCTAAATTTTCCAAAAAGTGACCAAAAAAATTTTTTTGGCCTTTTTTCAAAAATTTTTTTGCAAATCCCGCCCCTCGAGAAATTTTTAGATCCACGCTTCCTTATCACTCTTCATTTGTGATTGCAAAGTTTTCAAAGGGTCCCTTTTTAGTGATATTTTCTAGTGAATTTTTTAAAATTACTACTGACCAATTCTTAAATTTTTTTGACGGCGAACTGGTTTTCTTTAGTTATCTCCCATTTAGTTGTAAAAAAAATCATATCCAGGACAGAAATAAATCATTGAATACTCCCTTTTGTTACTTACTCCCCTTTGTTAAAGTTTAAGAGACCAGCCTCACATTTTGTAAATATTTCTAAAGCAAAGTTGGCTTTTTTATATCAAAGTTTTTTAGTTGTTTTTATCGACAACACAAAATTGAGGCGGTACATTGTTTGAGCGCCTTAATTTCATATCATATGTGATTCACTAATTGAAAAACAATGCTCAATATTACAGTCTGTGTATGATATATCTTATTTTTTGCGGGAAAAAGTTAACGCATTTTTAAAAAAGTGACATACAAAATACAATTTGCTTGCCAGATGTTTTTACCAACATGCAAAATACTATAATCTACCTTTTCGTTTAGATGTTCAACAAAATTACGCTAATGCGGACAACAGCGATCACGTTGATAGAAACTCAAAATCCTTCGGTTTAATGATTTTTGAACACGAGGAAGTGAAAGCGAAAATTGTGAAATCTAGTCGGCACTATAGATTCAAACATCAGGATTCAGATTGGCTGCGATATAAAAAATGAAAGATTTGTTTGTGCACAAATTATGTTGAAATGTCTAATGAAATTGGCTTGCAAAAATTAGCGAATTTTTATCTTCCTGCTTGTTTTGTAAATGTGCTTAAACTAAAGCCAATAAACAAAAAAAAATGTCAGTGTAAACAGATTTTTTCAAATTTCTGTTTAAGCTACGTAATTTTTAAAAAAATTTCTTAGAATCATGCTTGCATTGCAGTAATTCCATAGGATGATTTCTAATTTTATAACTTGTGGCCTGGAATTTGTAACTTTCAGATTGAATAGTGATATATATATACATGTTCTGAATTTTGGAAAAACTTTAAAACTGCCATTCATTTCATTTGAAGAGAATGGTCATATATTATTTTCAGAAAAGCATCTAATTTTAAAAAAAACTGAAACACAAATTTTCTTAGCTAATATTTTGATTCAATTCGGTTTCATAGTTATTTATGCGTTCGGTTGTGGAATTTTGTGGATCTTTTAAGCAAATTGGTAAATTTAGTGTTTCACTTTGCCTATTGAAAATTACAGACTGTTCCAATGTAATATGAATTTCTAACGTATTTTTTATTGAGAATTTGGTTTTTGGAAAAAGTGAAGCAACATTTCGAAATTGAATCTACTTAACCGTTTCATTGGTCGAAAATGTTTATAAGAAGAAATGATTGGTAGAAGCCTACACAAATATTTATGTGTTAGAAGTAGTAATTTTAGCCGATTTAAATACGGTATCATAGTAATTACGAAAGTAACGGAATATTTGTGCTCGGGGTGGATTTTTTTCTCTTCAGACAAATTTCGACTTTTTATCTAGCCATTTTTAACGGAATTTTTAAAATATCATTCAAAAAGTATTGTTGCCTGCCCTGAGCTCAAATTTGAAAAGATATTTCACCTGTGATCATTTTTCATAAAGCTATGGGGGTTTAAAGATTCCCATTTTGATCAATTTGGGACAAATAACGCGCATATATTTCGCGCTATTAACGCGTAAGCGGAGAGTTAATCCGTCTCAAAATCGTTACAAATTGGTTGAAAGAAGCTTATTTGCCTCAAATGTTTTGTTACAAGGAGCAAAATCTATCCTTTTGTATTTTAAATGGCTTCTGGAGAATGATTTTTATTTAAAAAAACTAAATGTAAAAAAAATAAAATGAAATTTTTTTTCTTCTAAAAATTGAAATTTTTAATGTTATTACTGCTCCATAAAACTTTAAAAGGCAGTCGGAACATTCAGGGCTTTGCCCTGATACGAGCAGTCTTGTTAAAGTTTTGTTGTGGCAATAAATTCACTGTAAAAGAAATACTAAAGGACGCACACTTTGGTTACACTTTTTGGTGAAAACAATTTGAAAAGTATGTTCTAGCTGAGTCTGTTGAAATATGTGAAGGATCTGAATAAGTTGCTCACAAGATTTGAAAGTTTGAAACACTATATGAGTTTGCTGGTCCTCAACGTTCTATTGTTTCTTCTAAGACAATCTTTGATAAAGTTGTGACTTCTTACATACTGAACACTTGTCAAAAATTTGCGTCTGTTTCTCTTAAACTATTGACTTAGTACAGCAGAAGTTAATCCATTTTTGAGTGCATGTAATTCCTATTGGGACCAAATTGCAAAAACACTACATATATATTTTTTGTCAGAAAAATTTTTCAGACAAATAGGACCCTGGAATTTTTTAAACAGCATTTTCAAGAAATGGAAATCAAAGTTTTTTCAATTTCTGTTATTTACAAGACAAACTTCTATCTAAATTGCTCAAATATCCATGAACTTGATATAGCTGATTGTTCAATTTATATTATTTAAAAATGAATAAAATTCAATATCCATGAACTTGAAATAGCTGATTGTTCAATTTACAATATTTAAAAATGAATAAAATTATTCATAATGCTCAACATTTAAGTACTAACTCGATCCAAGTCGATCAAATATAAAAAAGCATTATACAACAGCCTCAAATACGGTTTTCTTCTTCAATAATTTGATGAAAAACTGTTAGTTATATTATTTTGATGCTTTTAGCCTGTTTCTACTCACAAAACTGTAAAACATTCTTTTTTTAAGTCTAGATCTCAATTTATTTAAAAAGAGTTTTTTGATACTCTTGATCAAGCACCTAATTTGATCATCATTTATCATGTCATTAAATAATCCCTTTTAGTCCTGGTTTCAGGTGCACTGAAAAAATTCTAATTATTTTTTGTAACTTTGGCATATTTAAAATTGAAATTTGTCTTTGTAATCTAAACTGTTGTGGCCCTCTTGAAGATGACTCATTGTTGAATATGGTATTGCTCCGACATTTGAAACTGAAGAGGAATTTTGTCTTCGAGTGTGTTTTAGATTTTTGTTTGTTTTTTTTTTCACGCAAAATCAGCTACCACAAATGATGGTCAGAATAGGCCGATTGATATCTTACTTTGAAGCCCTTCCATTTGTACTACAAAATATTTTGACAATCTTAGTTGATTCTAGGAAAACTAGTTTTCGAAGCTTCATTTAGGGCTTCCCTAGCAATGAGTTTTTAACCAAACACAAAAATTTTTTCTGCAAAAGTAAACTGAAAAACTTTAAGGCATGTTTCTGAGTTTTTTTCATGTTTTGTTTGTTTTTCCTTATTCGGAGACAACTCTAGTCGGTTATGTCTAATTGATTTAAGTTCGACGCGTTCGCATATTTCGCTCATCTACGCACAAAAACCGACACTAACTCTAGAGAAAAAACTTTTGTTCTAAGTTTTTTATGAATGTGGTTAGAACATTTTGTGCTAGTTGCACAGCAATCGTCTATCATTGATTTTTATGCAACTGATATAGACACTCCGAGCAATATATAAACTTCAAATAACTACATGAAAAATGTAGATTCTAGACTTTTAACCCCCTCATCCCACCCCCAAAATTGATATTTTTTTTCTAAAAAAATGTATGTGTAAAGTTAATTTTTATCCAAAGTAAGTTACTTGCAAAGCAATCGGATATTCTTAATTTTTTTAAACCTGTCTTAACATTTTAGCCATGCGTCAGTTAATGCCCAAGACACCCCCACTCGGCATTTCTGTCTCCTGCGCATCGCGCCTCAATGGGGAGACTTCCAGACTGAGCTGGAGTTGAGCAAGATGCTCGGAGGCTCTGAGGACCCGACTCTGAAGGCATCTCTCAAAGAGTCTATGCTGATAGGCAACTGTCCCAAGTTCCTGGAGGACCAGGACACGGAACACACCTATGAGTACAGGAATGTGGATGGAACTAACTGCATCTACGAGAGGTGTGTGTCATGCTTATAGTTAACAAAAGAAGATGGAGAAAGAGGAGAAAGTTTTGTCCTCATATTTTTTGAATTCTTCTGAGAGTTACTAAACAACTAAGTTTTTAGCGTGCCTCCTCACTTTCGGCCGCAAAACCTTCCAAAGGGTCGCAAAAAACGAGGAGCTGGGCTAGTGGCAATCCCCGCGTCTTGTTGGTCCTAATTTCCCAAAAAAAACCAATAACGCTATTTTCACCAAACAATAACTAGTGGCGAAATTTTTGCCAAAAAAGTTGAACTCTTGTTTTGAGAGAGCTCAAAAAGTAGCAAATGCTGGACCTAAAAACGGGTCGTAAAATTTTGGGGCAGGCAGATTCGGTATTATCGGTATTAGATTGATCCTATGTTAGTTGTAAGTCAGAAACAATGTTTGTTTATTAAGGAGAGCGGCGGCTCTGGACGAGGCATACTTCGACTTCCGCAAAAACTACCCCAACATGCCAGTGCCCAGTTTCTGCTGCGGTGGCTACAAGGGTGACTGCAGCGAGGATGATCCGACCTATGTCAGGCCAGACACCTCAGCCAGAGCTCCCGAGGAGATCCAGAACGAGATCTGTTCGGCCAAACTGGCAGACAAGGCACTCAACCAAATAGTCGCCAATCGTACGTTTATAAAAAGAGGAATTGGGTGTTTTCTGTTATACGGCCCATAATTATCAAATTGTTAATAGAGCTTCTATTTTAATTATTGAATATCCAGATTTTTTTTTCAGTGAAACTAATTTCAACCTATCATAATCGAGCATTATGGATCGCTCAATGATTTAAGTTTGAAAAGATTATATTTGGGCCATATAACAGAAAAGACCCAAAAAATGCATTGTGAAAACCAAAATAAGTCTTTCTGTTTAGCCGAAAGTCGGCTTTGCTCATTGCATATGCTCAGACATTTTTCAGATTGAATTTGAAGCTGCTTAATTTTGACCAATTATGAGCCTTTATTCGATTTTCTTGCGTCTCAATGTTGAAACAGGACGAATTTTCAATTAGTAGAACGTTTTTTTTGTTTCGGATTAAATCATTTCTCATTATTACACAATAATGAGAAATGAATTAATCTTGGAAATGCCAATTGGAAATTCCACCATTTCAGCTCTGCACGACACTGACCCGTACCTGTCTGTGTGTGAATCCATATCTCCCTTCCACTTACGATCATCCAATGGACGCATCATGATGTTCGAGCCCACTTGTGCGAACACAAAATTAGCAGAAATGGATCAAGTGATGACGTTTAGAGTGTACAATGCACCAAACCCTGCTGACAAGGTAGGCGATCGATCCTCGTCGAACTCAGGCAGCAGTTTCATAAAGTTCGAGAACCTTCTCCCCCACTGTTAATCCAGCTTCATCAGTACACATAAATTGTAATCATGTCATCAAATGAGCCTATAAATACTAAGCCTGATAATTTACTATGAGTGCCACGGCCGCTTCTGTAACTTCTGTGTCGCCCCAATATATCATTTTAAATTTAGGAAGTAAATGCTCCAAAAAATCTAGTATTTGGTCAACAATTTCCAAAACGCACAGGCAGCAAGTAGCAAGTCTCAAAATATAAAAACTACACAGCCGAAAACTTGGATAGCCGAAAAAGCATACAACGCTAACTCGCTTTTATATCAAACGCACGCACCCATTTTTTTCTGGACTATTCATTGCTCAACATGTTTTTCTGTTCTAGTACTTCGAACTGGAAATAGCCTCTACCCACAAAGTGAAGCTGGAAGTGTCAACCGGAAAAGCTTTCTTCTCCAAGTCTGGCGAGGCTTACCAAGAGGTCACCACCAACCTAGCAGTGAGCGAGCCGACAGTGGTGAAGATTGCCAAACAGACCAGCGATGTTCTTCGAGTCCAGATGGGAGGTATGTTGGAAAATAGTTCTTAAGACCGAGCCAAAGTAAATACCATCACAGCTAACATCAAAGCAGCCAAAATACCCCCATCTGCAAAAGAGTGGTGGCCTCCTTTTTGTCCTATTTTGAGATATCCATTTTTGGCTGACAGACCCAAAATTTTTTCCAAAGGCGCCTTGGACGCCAAAATATACTGAGGGGGAACCGCGGTACTTAAACATATTCTTGGTTAACCTTTTTCAAAAAGTACCTAAAACGTTTTTTTTTGGCTTGTTTTTTTTTCAAAATTTTGCCTGCTGCACAGAAAATGTAATCAAACAAGGTTTTTTAGTGCTCTGGGAGAGCTCAAAAATCAATTTGTTTGGATTGATGATTATTATATGTTTGGACATAAACTTTTTATTTTAATTTAAAAAAAAACAAGAATTTCTGCCCTTCGTCCGATTTAGTTTACAGTTTGAAACATCAGTACAGACATGAATTTTACCTTCAAAACATTGTTTATAAAACAACGGACGTGATAATATCTGCACTCTTGCAATTTGCACCACCACCGATGACCGGTTTTGCCTATGACTTAAAAGATATTAGAAATCTTGCTAATTTTTTTGAATGGAAGACTATATTTCGACCTTTAATCAAATGACCACAGAAAATGAATATGGGCTCGGACCAAGTGAACAATCTCCCCCCTAAACCAGTGTTAACGCGCTGACGCTGAAAAAGTGTTAATAGATACTGAAGCTATAACTATGTTGTTGTTCTAATATTGTTTAAAAAAATTTAATGGAATATGAACGCTTTCCCGCATCATAGATAAAAATTTTTGAAGAGCTCAAAAACTAGTTAAGATTACAGCAAAATTAGTAATTCTTAAACTCTCACAGCTTTAGAAAAAATTCATCGCAGGTGGAAAAACTTTTTTTTTTAATTTTTTCTTATTTACGATATTTCCTTGGGGTTTAAAAGTATTCAGTTAGAATTTTTTCCAGTTTCCGGATGGATCTCTGCCCTATTTGCCAAATAAAAGTTTTTGGCAAATAAAATTTTGATAAAAATAACAAAAAAAAAACAATCGCTGTTAACATATGTTCTTATTCTTAGATGATGCTAAAATTCGGACAAAGTTTTCATGTAAAAATCGAGTTTAGTTTAAAAAAAAGAACACTGCTCATCTATAAATCAATTGTTTCAATGAAATTCGTGCGTCCTCAAGCAATGTTAAGTTTCTGACAATCAAAACTAGAAAATAATTCAAAAACTCAGTACGAAAGCCGAAAAAAGAGTATCAATACACCATCACTTTCTTTGAAAAACTACCCCTAGCAAGTATACTTCCTTGCTTACTTAAAGAAAACAGAAACAAAATTTATCATAGATTGAACTTAAAAACCCGTAGAGTTAAAAACCTTATCCACTTTTTTGTTTATTTATTATTATTTTTTTTGTAAATAGACATTTTTCTTGTATGGAATTGTATGACAAGCATTGTTTGTGTATGAAATTCAGCCCGGGAGTCTTTGAGCATAACGTTTTAGAAGAGTGTACATTTTAGATTGCTTAAACAAAGATAATGAAGAATATTGAAACGATGTATTATAAATTACAAGCACAGCTCATTGTGTCTAGATTGGAAATTGGTTCGAAAAACGATCTGCGCCGTATTAGTGTCTATCCCGAGTCGAGATTTTTCACCTAATTTGAAGCAAGATTTGAGCGGTTTGAGCGGTTTTTTTAGACAATTACGCTCAAAATCTTGCTTCAAAATGAGCGGTTTGAGCGGTTTTTGAACGGTTTATCTAAAAAAACCGCTCAAAAACCGCGCAAGATTTGAACGGTTTTGAGCGGTTTATCTAAAAAAAACCGCTCAAAAACCGCGCAAGATTTTATAATAAAAAGTCGACCACAGAGGGATTCGAACCCGCAATCTTCTGATTCGAAGTCAGACGCCCTATCCGTTAGGCTATGCGGACTTGCTGGAATCTTAATTTTCGCTGTATTTGTTCTATTGATTCAGTTTTGTTATGCAATGGTATCTTATAAATGAGCGGTTTTTGAGCGGTTTTTTAAGCAAGATTTGAGCGGTTTGAGCGGTTTTTCCAAAAAAAACGCCCAAACCGCCCAAACCGCTCAAACCGCTCAAATCTTGCTGAAAAACCGCTCAAACCGCTCATATCTTGAGCGGTTTTTGAGCGGGATCTCGACCCGGGATGCTAACGAAACGGTATTTTAGATAGTTAGGCGAATGAGTTCTTTTTTACAGGCGATAGTTTCCTGTTTTGGAATCTGAAGGATGGGTTCCAGCTGATGATCAATAAGGACCTGGAGGTGAGAGGACTGTGTGGAGTCGCTGCTGACACGACAGAGAAGGACTTCCTTTTGTACCAGAAGAACTCAGATTCTTCCGTAAGTTAAAAGTAACTGTACGATTTTTCAAGGCCGATAAAAGAAGATCAATAGATAGAGCATGGGCTCGTCTCGGGTATACTTGTCTAAAATTAATTTTCTCTACAGAAATATATGAATAATACTGCTGAAAAATTGACACAATGAAAAATCAGGTAATAATTTTGAACGATTCCAAAAAATTTCAAAATTTTTCAAGAACTTTAACTCGTAGCCAGGGGCGGATCTAGGATTTTCTCGACGGGGGGGGGGCGGATTTTCAAATTTTTTTAGGCCGACCGAATTGATTTTTCGAGCTCTCCCTACGCACAGTTCAGTCCCTGTTTTAGCCAAAATTTCTGCGCCGCAGGCAAAATTTTGAAAAAACAGTCCAAAAAGGCGTTTTTGGCACTTTTTGGAAAATTTTGACCAAAAAATTGCGTTTTTTTGGCGCGCGCGCCCCCCTCAAAATTAGTATATATTGGCGCCCGAGGCGCCTTTAGAAAATTTTCAGGGTCGGTCGGCCAAAAATGGATTTCTTAAAAAGTACCACAGGGGGGGGGGACCCTTTGGGTCGGCAAGGGGTCGAATCCCTGAGGGGGGGGGGGGGGCGTCCGCCCCCCGCCCCCCCTTAAATCCGCCCCTGTTCGTAGCAAATTGTTTGCAGAAAATAGTTTTAACCTAGTAGCAATGTCAATTTCAGAATATAAAATAGTATGTCGTTCAGAGTTGGACCTAAAGGCAGATACTAGTCTCGCGCAATCGGCGATACATTACAAAAATAGCAAGAAAACTAGCCGAGTTAGAAACTAGACGAAAGTTTTTGCTAAAAAAAGTTCAGAAAAATATTAATAACTAGGTCATGAAAAATTTTGTCTCAATAATTTTGTTTCATTTGAATTTAATTGCGATATGAAAAAAACATGTCAAAAAGACGATTGCCTTAAATATAATAAGCTCCTAAAGCAACACTACGAATCAGTAATGCAGTCGACAAAAATTGGGCAAGCGCCCGTTGAGCCGAAAAAACTATTAGCCATAATAAACTTCGAGCTGCAAAAACTCAACTTTCAAGGTTTTCAAGTTTCACGTCCTAGTTGTTGTCCTTCTAACGAAAAAACATAAGATAACTAAACCAATATCAGATTAAAAACCAATTATCAGAAACCTTTCTAGCCGAACAAAAACTTTCAGCAAAAAAAAATCTCAGGCAAATACAAAAGTTCAGAGTTGGCTTACAACCAATAAGATCGTTCTTTTTAATTGGCATTGTGAAATCAAGCAACTTCCTTGAATCAAATTACGTATTTTGTGAAAGAACTCACCCTTTATTAGTCGTCTTTACTACTCCGTCATACTTGTAACAGAAATATCAAAAAAGTTAGTGATCGCACTCAAATTACCACAAAGTTCTTGAAATTTCAAAAATAGATAATTTTTTTGTTAAGGCCAAATCATGGTAAGATTTGATCTTAATAAGACAAAAAGGGAGGAGTGAATCTTTCTAGCATTGTGCAAAACTCGATTACTTGTCTGATTTTGAACTGGAACAAGTTTTTTTTGCTCATTATGTTTGATTCTTGATTGAAAATTAATATTTATGAAAATAAAAACCAATTTCTACCAGCTCATATGAAACTACAATTCATAAGTAACCGCATGCACAAATTTTTTAGAGAAAACTATACTACTTTGAAACATGTAATATGCAAAATATCGATAACTAGTTTATCAAAAAATCTGCAGCTGTGGAAAATTTTTTTTAATTTTAAAAGGCAATTTAAAATCAATTTTACTGATTACCTCACTTATAGACAAAGAAAGCCAAATTGGAAAATTTTGTCTCACTAGAATTTAAAGGAGATCCACAGTTGCAACACATGGTAAAGAGTCATAGAAAATCTTTATGTTCAATAAGGAAAGAACCTACAGCTCTTATGTTTTAATAATTAATAATTGTGGTTTCCGCGATTTGCAGAATATCTATGAAAGGCTATCCACCCTGTCCACGCAAAGTCCGTTTCTATTATTTCCCCACATCCAGATTGAGTTATTTAAGTGAGCGAAGCACTTTTTTGTGACTCATGGACTTTTTTTGCGTCTAGATTTTCTTTCACGTGGTACCACTATTGCAGCAGTAATCGGTCAGGCTATGGTAGACTTGAAGTTGGAGGTTAAGTGAGAGCTCGTCCTCTCACATTATCATTGCCATGGCAGGGGATCGATCACACGATCTGACGATCTCGAAGTAACCGCCTTAATTTATTTATATTTAACCTGCAGTTTCCTTAAAAACTTACACTGGAATTTTCACGTGGGCTGATTTTTTTATGAAAAAATTTCGATATTTTAATTGATCGATTTTTTTAGGATGACAAAATTGATTTTTCGGAGCTCTCCCAAAGCACTAAAAAGACATTATTTTGGCCAAATTTTATGTGCCGTAGGCAAAATTTTGAAAGAAAAACAGGCAAAAAAAGGCGTTTTAGGCACTTTTTGGAAAATTTTCACCAAAAAATTGCTTTTTTTGGCGCGCGCTCCCTCACCAAAATTAGTGTGTATTGGCGCCTAAAGCAACTTATGAAAAATTTTAGGGTCCGTCGGCCAAAAATGGATATCTCAAAATGGTTTCAAAGGGGGGACCCTTTGGGTGAGCAGGCGATCGAATCCCTGAGGTGAGTCGTCAGCCACCCCCACCTATCCCCTAATTCCGCCCCTGTAAAAAGGCATTTCGATTTGACAACCAAATTGTTTTTTCCTCTCATTGTTTTACGTGCGTGAGGAAGTGACTAGTAGATATTGGTTTTAAGGAAATGAGCTGACTTTTTCGCCAAAAGTAAAAATTTGTAATTTTGTATACTTTTCTGTTTTAGACGTGCAGTGCCCAGAAGAACCCCGGCTCAGAGGGCAACCAGTGTTCTGGCATGGAACAGACTTGCCTCAAGGCTCTGGACGTGTGCACCCAAGTGCACACTGGCATCTTCGAGAGCTGTGCCGGAAGCTCCAAGGTCAGAGCATAATAGATGCCAAGTAAAAGTTCCTTTAAATGGTTTCAGTGACTTTCACGACTGGTCGGATAGCTCAAATATTTATTTTTAAAATGTATGTTAACGAAAGCAATTTTTCGTTGTAATAACTTCAAATTGAATGCCCTTCATTACTGGTACTGAAAACTGTAGTTTTGCGATATTATAAAACAATGAAAAAAAATGGAAAAATTGTAGTTGGTACTTTAAGCTATTTTCCAAATTAAGTATGATAGGGTCTTTCCCTTTCTCTTTTGACGCAGAGGTTCAGTTCCTTTAAAATAAGCTTTCTTTCCAACCAAGTCACTATGTCTTAGGTACGTTTTTTTTTTCAATTTTAACTACCCCAAAGAAAACTCGTACAGCGTCAAGTGTAGTATGGCTCAAGTCAACAAAAACAGAAATACAAAAAAAGAACCAGAATTAAAGAAACAAAACAAATTACTGAATTTTTCAAACTTTAAAAAAAAAATTTTTAAATGAATTCGATTGGAACATTCTGTGCTTTGCAGAGCAACCGGTTATCCTTGATAAGCATTAACAACAATTTTTTTCTAGGTATTTACGGAAGAGTACGAGAAAGTATGTGTGGAGTCCTACTGTATGGTGGCCAAGGCGGCCAATATGACGAAACAGCAGATCGCCGACAAACACGAACAGACCATGTGTCAGACTCTGAACGCATATCTGTTCAAGTGTATTTCCAATGCACTCTGTGATACTGATCTACCTCAGTGTGGTAAGTAAGGAGGAGTCAAATGTTCTGATATGAGAACTTTCTTCAAGAAGACTTCTGTTGACATTGAGTCATAATAGTTTTATTTGCTCAGCTAACTTGAGCCGTGAGAAACACCTATATTTTATACTTAGAATATCTCTGCCTCTGGTCAGTTTTTCCAAAAAACGTTGTTTTATTTGAAAAATGATTGTCTGGAATTTGTTTACGACGAGGAAAAAAACATCTTTGTCAAAAATCATTTAAAAAAACGTAATAAATCAGAACTGTTCGAAAAAAAAACTTGAACAATTTAGTTTTTTTTCCCAAAAATTGTTTGTTTTATAAAAATGAAATAAAACACAGACCCCCTAAATTCAAAGTCAGAAACTTGTCTTTGTACATTTCACTGTAGTGTTTAAATGGATCTTAACTTCGTTCGTGTTCACTGTGTGTGATGTCCGTATAGTGATGTGTTTGTATGTGAGTTTAGCGAGTCAGTGTCAGGGGCAGCACGAGTACTACACAGCACTGGGCCACAAAGACCAGCTGGTGTGTGGGGTGGAGCCAGAAAAGTTCTACTCACAGCTATCAGCCAGTGGTAAGGAAAAGAACATAAAATGGAATCAGCTGTCGGTCCTATCATTTTCTCCGTTTCCATTCAACCAGACATCAACTAGTCAAATAATGGTCGTGCAGCCCACCATTACGTCTTTGTATTGATCTAAGACCAAAGCTTTTACTCCAAATTAGTTTCAAAGGCATTGAGGACGTGGCATGAATCTCCTGCTTATAACGAAGGAAAGAATTTTTGCTACAATAAAACGATAACTCAAATTCAACAACATCAGACAATGAGACTTGAAAAAGGCAGACAGAGACTTCCTTGGATCATAAAATTATCTGTCCCTGTGAAATCTATGAATTAGTTTTAATTTGATGAAAAATTTTTACTGAGAGAGACGTGGGGTCGGTTGTTAGATCCCTTTGTTTCAATTAGTAACTAAGATTATAAGCTAAATTATATCATAGATCATAGTTGATCTAGTCCTAGAGTTAAAATGATATTTATATAAACAGATAAATCAAAAAAAAAGATTGATTAAATAGACAAAATTTAAGTGTTATGCACAACTGTTCATCTTTTGTTAACTTTTACCAATAGGAGGGGATTTTATTTCATCAATTTATTACGTTTTATTTGTTACAATATTCGCTGAAAAGTAGCGGAGAGAAGGTGCCGAGAAGTTGATGTTCAATCCTTGCTGGGAAGAGTACACCAGTCCTCACTGTCAGTTGGGGCATTGTCCGATAATAGGGCGGTGGCACTTCTTTTTTCCTCTCAGTCCGTTAAATTTGACTTAAGACAATTACTTACTTAACTTTGTTTAAGTCATGAGTGACTCTGTTTAATATGAAAAATTTACTATAAGAAAATTTAAGATTTATTCTTTTAAAAGAAAAGAAATAAAGAAAATTGTGAGTATTTTAGCTGGCCGTTTCAAGAAATTAGAGTCACTAAAAAATGCAGGCAGGCTCATCCGAAACAATTTTAGTTTGGTTTTCCCTTCACCTGCTATTAGATTTCAGTCCTCTCCTTATCTCTTAATCTCCATTTGATCAGCAGACTGACATTTGCATTTTATCGATTTTTTTCTATTAAAAAATCAATATTTAGTTTAACTGGGGGAACTCACAATTTTTCCACCTGCTTCGGTTATTTTAAAATTCAGAGCAGCGGGGGATTTATCTATTTTCAAAGTCAATACAATAGAGACACACCGCCTGACTGGCGTCGTGGATAAATACTCATTTCCCTCGATCATCTGTTAAACTTTCTTAAAAATTTTTGCCTTTTTCCAAGGTTAATAAAAGTGAAAAAAAAAATCCGTTCAGAATTCGAAAAATTAGAAATGTGGATTTGATTTTTAAAGTTTTAAGTCAGGTTGTTCAGTTGAAATCTGAATCAAATGTTAAGTTAAAATGGAATTCTTATCTTCAGGTGTGAACAAATTTAGAATAGAAAAGAGTCCGCTCAGATCTTTTGTAAACAATTAAATCAATAGCCTTTTGTATTCGTGTAGCATTTCCAATACTACAAGTTCAAACAAAAAACAATGAAAACATAGATAACCGGTTACTGTGCAAGTAAAACAGAATGTTCCGACCACAGTCTTAAGAGATATCATAGAACTTTTTTTTTCAAATTAGTGTCGTTTGTTGGGCGTGGTGTGATACAAGGAGCTGAACAAAAAAACTAGAGGTTAGGCTTTTTTGACAGTCATAGCAATTTATCAAATTGAAAAACAACTTTTGTCGAAAAAAAATGATTAGAACACAAAAAAAAACATTACAAAAATTTTCCGATTTTTTTTGCAGATTTTTAAATTTTTGAAGTTGTTGATTCCAAAAAACGGTTGAATACTCAAAAAAATAACGTTACTCGAGCAAGTAAAACTAGGTTTTTACGTTTTAAATTAAGATGTAAGCTTTTAAGCTATTAAAATAAGCTATTGCAAGCCTCGCTTTTTTCGCTCGAATTAAGACGAAAAAGCAAAATTTTTAAACCGGTTTTTCTCTAAACGAGGAAGTTTTTTGAAATCTTATAATGTCGTTCGAATCACGGCTGTAAGGGCTTTATTATGATATCAGCTCTCTCCGATGATTTTTTGTGGCCGCTGATGTTGCGTGGAAAACAATAAAAAAACTAAAACACCCGAATACAAAGCTCCTTCCAAATTTCAAAACCTCGGATCAATAAAAGAACTTCGAATCTCGAGATCTCCCAAGCTACTACAATAATCTAATTAAATTTGGATAAACATCGTACTTCTTACGAAACGTATCTGAATTCTCCTGAGCATTGTCGAACAAAATGTTATAAAAGCAACTTTGAGAGTTGAGACAAAATTTATCAGGATCCTAATGTCGCTTAATGCTTGCGCGTTTTCCTTTATGAAACCATTGGACTCTTTAATGTTTAAAAAATTGGCCGTATTTTGAAATTTTTAATTCCTTGTACTTTGAAACAATTTCGAAAACTTCTAAAAATGGCCATAAATTAGTCAGTAAAACTTCTGGGAAGTTTCTTTTTCCACAAAAAAGTCCTGATTCTACGAAGGTTGTTCGGCCGTTTTTAGCCATTGTGTGCAAATTTCTATCTTTTCAATTTTCATAGTTATTTGAAACCAATTTAAATATTTGATTAAGAAAGAGTTCTCGAATTGTGGTATTTCAATAAAAGCACTATTTTCAACTTCCACGGGTAGTAAATTTGAAGTTTTCAATTTGTATTACAACTTGAAACCTCTACAACAAATTGAGAACCTTTCTATTTTCATTGATTGAGCTTCCGTGTTCAGTGACTGCTGCATCTCTTTCAAAACCCAAACGATTTTTTTGATTTTTTATTATCCTGTCTGTTACTTGTTTCTAGATTTATGCTTCAAAATCTGTCTAAAGTTCACCTTTGCTTTTGTCCCTTTAGCAAAAATTTCAACTCAGTTGATACGGCGCTGGTTCGAGTCTAACCGTTTTCGTTGCACGGCCCAAATCAGGAAAAAAAACAAGCACGTAGTTCTTAAGTAGCGGTAGCCGTTCTCCGCAAAGAGCTGAGGATCTCATATGTTGGTTACTACCTTGAGGAATAATGGTCTTAACTTTTTTAAACTGAAGAGGGACAGAAATCCAATTGAAGTAAAATGATTAGAGCAGATTAAAAATTCTAATCATTTAGGCTTGGGAAAATATAGTTTCAGAATGTATATAGAAGAATTCTGAAACCATATTTTCCCCCAGTCTATTATGACTTTATCAACAGTTGTAAATTGCTCACATTAACTCTTTAGGGCAGCAACTATTGCGCAAAAGTTGGAGAGCTCAAAATTAATTTTATGAAAATGCAGAAGTCTTAACTCAAAAGCATTGAAACAAACATGTGTTCTTGATTTTCAGATGTGGAGCACAGTGCTGGCTGTTTCTGCGAGGCTGGCTACTATCGCCAGGGAGGGGACTGTGTTCCGGCTGAAGAGTGCAACTGCAGATACAAAGGACAGAGTTACCCTCACGGACACGAACTCACCAGCGACTGCCAACAGTGGTACGTTCATGTTGCCAAAAATTGTAGGTCCTTGACCTTAAGGGAAAATCTGTTCGTTTTCCCCCCTCCCCTCTCTCTCTCTCTCTCTCTCTCTCTCTTTCTCTCATGTGGCTTAAAATGTCCTCGTGGCTAGTCTTTTGAAAGTTCAAAGTCGTCAGCCACTCTTGATGGCACCAAGGCGATACGCATCACGAATATGAACCTTGCTTCTTTTTTTTAATCTACTTAACTTGTAATTTTTCTTGAGTCAGCTACTTAAAATTACATGAAGTTTTATGGCTGATCTCATTTCAACTGTCAATTTTCAATACGCTCTTTAGTCTATTATTTATGGAAACTAACACCGACTGCTATAGGGTGAACCTAGGGTTTTTAGGATGGGTAAGATTTAGATTTTGAGAAAACTAAAACAAAACTGCGGAATCATTAATCAACAAAGGCGCTGGAAAAATTGGTGTTAACTTAGTAAAAAGAAATTTTCAGTTGATAATTTATCTAAGTGATTCTGGTGGCCGTCATAATCATTTACGACACGTTTTAGCAACATTATCAAGCATGTCCAAATCCGTATTCGAGTTGCCATGATTGTGCTATTTCAGCTTGTGCACCGGAAACGGAATCTGGAAGTGTGAAAAGAAACCATGTGAGCACACTTGTCACGTGATCGGCCATGGACACTTTCTCACATTCGACGGAAAACGATACGAGATGGGATCCAAACACGAGTTCAAGCTTGTCGAAGACAAGATCAAGAAGGCATTCCGAATCACCACCGCCAGTTCGCACTGCGAGGCTTCTACAGGAGGAGACTGGGCCGGATACGCGTGCAAAAAGGAGGGTTCCATCATCATCTCGGAGGATATTTTCCAGGGCTCATCGCAACAGCTGAAGATCACATTCAAGCCCAACCATTTCTACATCAACGGAGTGGCGCCTGCAGAAGCCGATGGATACGATGCCTCTCCGGCTTTGAACGAAGTCCAGAGATGGTCCAAATCGTAAGATTCTGTTATGTTTCACTATTATGTTTCACACAGATTTTCACACAGCAATAAAAAACACAAATAAACATTTGTAAATAGAAAGACTTGCATAAGTGTAAACTAAATTAGTCTTTTATAAGTTGTCGAGTTTGTATTTTTTTGTGTCGCTCCAGCTACAACACAGACTTCAACGACTGTTTCTGGGTGCACGTGGACAAGACTGGCAAGTTCCTCACAGTGACCATCAGGTGCAAAGAGCGAGGAGATCTGGTGCTCTGGTATGACCAACACAACAGAATCAAGGTCACAGTGTCCGACAGCTTCATGGACACTGGGGTATGTATGGCTCACTGATTAAATGTCCCTTCTCCACATCATACCATAACCTGGGTCAAGAGTTTTTAACGTTTTTTTTCAAAATAAGGCTATTCAAGGGGTAAGAATAAGTTCCATTTAAAATTTTCAATATTGATTTTTTTTAATGTGCACGGTGTGAGCATTAATCTCAGTTTTAAAAACAGTTTTCTAAATAAGTATTTCTTTTTAACTTTTTCATTTCAGTGACAGAATCTCAGTTGAAGCAATATTTCTGAATAACTTTAATCATTTCTTTCGGTTAAATGTCTGTTTTCTTCTTAGCTGGTCGGTCTCTGTGGTCCCTACGATGGATCCAAGAACAACGACGAGGTCTTCAACGGAGAGAGCATAAAGACCGCTTCTGGTGTGTACGAATACGCAAAGAAGGCTCTTATCAACCCCAACAACGCCGCCAGCATCGTCAAGCCATCCGACAGCGAGGCTTCTTGCAGAACGTAAGGCACTATCTCATTATTCCTAATCATAGAGCATTTTTGCTCCACTTAAATGAAAAAGCTTATTATTTTTCCGATTTTTTGTCATTTTTTTATTTGGATTGCCTATAGGTAAGTTGACTTGCTAATAGTAAAAACAAAGTAAAATATGGGATCAATCTGACACTTTTTAGATCTCCAATTAAAACAGACTTTGAAAAAAGTAACGAAAATTTATGAGTAAAAAAACGGCCTAAAACAAGTTCAAAGTTCGTTCAGAACTTTCAGCTTAAGTCTTATTTCAGTAACCCCACGATGACTTCCACTCGTGAAAACGCCTGTGAGTACCTGAAGGGTGCCAGTAGTGACCTGTTCAAGTGTCTGAACAAACACCTCGACTTCAGACCCTTCCTTCACTTCTGTCACGTGGACATGTGCCATGACCAGACACGATTCGGATTGGTCAACAGTCATAGCTACAAGTGCACGGCCATAGAGCACTACGTGCAACATGCACTAGAGAAATCTCTCAAGAATAATGATCAGGAGTGTTTCCAATTAGCCAATGAGGAGCCGAATTGGAGAACCGTGATTGGCCAATGTGATGCGCGTAAGTTTTTCTCACGGACTCTAAAAAACTGTTGGCAAACTTTTTAAAATCATGATACACCAATTGTGACTACAACATTGTGTAAGATTTCGTATTGAATCATCAAGATTGTGATTTCCCAGAAGCTATTTGATGCCTAAGGAGTTCTAACTTAGTGAAAAAGCAAGCGTGTTTAAAGAAATGGGGTAAAAGTGCCATGCTGTAGAAAAAAAAGCAATTCTGTATTTAAAAAAAAAAATGTTTCAGCTCCAACCTGTGGCAGCAACTTGGTGTACAAAGAAGTAGTGGACGCCTGCTCCCAGGTGTCGTGCAAGGGCATCACTGAAAACTCTGGAACGTCTACCGCGAACCTCTTTTGCAAGGACGCCGCCTACTCCGGCTGCGCATGTCCAGGGGAAGGGTTCTACTACGACGAGGGCAGCTGTAAATACAGATCAGAGTGCCTGTGTCACTTCAATGGGGGATATTATGCCCCCAATGAAACATGGACAGAAGACGGCGTCCTAGAATAGTCAGTCATCATCTTACTAGATTTTTTAAAATAAAAACAATAACCGTTTTCGATTTGGTTTGAAAAATTGTATGGGTGTCATCTTTTGATTTTTTAACGTTGAAACGTTATAATCGATCGCATTTTTGTCACATTTTCTGGAAGCACTTCAAAAAATGTCGAGCAAGATGTCGCTCATCCTTGTCGAGCTGGATGAAGACCGTATTCTGAATTCTGAAGCTGATAGTTTCTGATGCTTCCTGAAACTGAAAGTAATTATGAGGCCAAACTGTGCATTTTGTGAATTGTAGGCGGATTCCGTAAAAGGCTAAAATCCGATTTGTCGCGGAATCTGCAACATTGCTATTTTTCTTTGATCTTCTCTGCTGTTTTGGATTCCACGGATCAATAGCTAAAATACTGAATTGCTCAAAATTGCTCCAATAACAGGCAACTTTGCGGAATCCGCCACAAAAAGTGTGGAATCCGGAACTAGTTTGCGGAATTCATAAACAAATCATAATATATGTTTAGTAAACTTAAGCTGTCGTGGAATCCGCAACTGTAAGTGGAATCCGCAAATTGTTCGCGGATTCTGCAAATTGTAAGCGGAAAACGCATAAATTTGTGGAATTCACTTACTTTTGCAGAATCCGCTTACATTTACGAAATCCCGAACAACTATCTATATTCGCTCAATGCAGAATCCGCAACAAAACCAATGTGCCGATAAAAATTACATTCCAGGTATTTGTACGCGGAATCCTGTGAAATTTTGTAAGTGGAATCAACTTACAATTTAGAACATGTTTAAAGACTTGTCTTTGGAATCCAGGAACATACAAACCCAAAATTATGCGCCTATCTAGTGCACAGTTTAGCCTCGTAACGGTTTTGTGCAATTGAACGTTTTTTAGAAAACCAAAGTTTGGCGTTTCGAAAACTGAAAAAAGGGGTAGTTACACGCATCTCAGGCCGTGCTTAAATAATCGATGGTAACGTTATTTTATACAGGTTTTTGCTGACAACAAAAACTGATTATAGGTTCCAAAAACAGGCGTTCAACTATTTTATAATCGTTTATATTTTTTCCGAAAAATTATAATCTTTTTTAATTGGTAAACATTGATCTTAGTTCCTGCAAAAATCTTCTAATACGGATTCTACTTTTTTTGTTAAAACATTATCACTCTAAAAATATAACTGATGATAGAATACTATTTCGCGGTCAAAATTACATCTCTTAGCGAGGTTGTTTTGTCACCTTTTGGCTCATGTGAGCACAACGTTTTTTCTCGAAACAAAGGCTCTCAAGTTAGTTGAAGAATTACCGCGGTAAGCAAAAAATAGGGTGGGCAAATTAATGATCAACCTTAAAATTTGTGCTCAAAATTTGGTTGAACAAAAAACAATGAACATCATGAAAAAGTTGTTATTGAGAAGAAAAGTGAAAAAACCTATTATATTTGAATTGATTTGAAAACCATTCAAAAACTTTGAAAAGTTTCCCATTTGCCTAAAAAATCAATTTTTAAATATGATTACAAACTTTTTGTTAGAGCATAGAAATGAGCAAAGAAAAAATTTTTCCTCACTTTTTTGATTTTTTGGAATGTTTATTTTTCAATGAAAAGTTGCATAAAATTCAATTTTATTTCGACGAAAAAAAAACATATTTTTTAAATCATAAAGTTTCTTTCAATTAACAAAAAAAACTATGTAAATATCATTTTCATTAAAAATTATCTACAAAAGTTTTCAAATAAATTCCGAAAGTTTTATTTTTCACCAGAAAACTGATTGCCATACAATTTACATCCGGAAATGCTAAGCAGTTTTGGGCCAAGTGAACAGCCTCCCGATTTAGAAAAAAAGGAAACAAGTAATTTGCCTAAATCTAAATTTTTTGTCTATCAGTATTTTTTAGTAAGTTATCGTTTATTTTTTGTAACTACTTCAGTAAAGATTACTTTCTGCAAAATTGAACTTATTTGGTTTATTTTTATGTCGACCAACTTAGCATTATAAACAAAACTGAGAATTATTCTATATTAAGTTTTAATTAAAGTTCTGAGGTGGAGATGGTTCGATTAGTTGATTGTTCAATTGGGATAGTTCAATTGAGATCGTTCAATTGGGCCTATTATCTTAATATTTTTGCCAAAAATTTATATTTTACAATATAAATTTCATAATAATTTTTATGACCATTAATTGGTTTCAGTCAGTGTTACGGGGGAGTGGCTGTGAGTCTGAACTCGTGTCCGGACGAAGACAGCGTCCACCAGAGCGCCTTCTGTCCCAACAACCTCGTCTACAAACAATGTCAGTTCAAGTCTTTTTCAAGCAGTAGAGTAGTAGGGGCATATCAGGGGCGGATTTAGAAGAAAGTTTTCCCATGTTTTAAGATAGACTATAATGCTAATTTTCCGTCACTTTCTCCCATGTATTAAGATAGGTTATAACTGCGTAGTAAAAGTTCCTAGCATAAATTTTTTTAGAAAAATTTACTATTTTACATTTTTCTTCTGTAAGAAAAGTCAAAAAGTTCCTATCTTACAATTTTCTTCCGTAAAAAAGTCACTATCTTACAACTTTCTTATTAGAAAAAGGAATCGCTTTAACTATCCCCCCCCCCCTAAAGATTCGGTACTAGGTACAAATGGCAATTATAATTCGGGATAGTTAAAGAGATCCAGAAAAGGTCGGTCCGTACCTTGTAACATTCCAAGAGCCTAATTTTGTAAGATTCTTATCAGAAAAATGTTCTAACATAGCGACTTTTGGTCAACCCGGATGTACAGAGCAAAAATAAGTGCAAAGTTAACAAGCTCTCTATAGAATGCGTATGAAAATTCACAATAACTTCTGCAGTCATATAGCTACATGCGCATCGAACGTGTTCACATGTTGTTAATTGTATTTTTTTTCCAGCCGTGTCTTCGTGCAGGAAGTCTTGTTTCCATGTGCGCGCCAAAAAGGGAGTGGACTATGCTTGCGAGTCTAAGATGACGTGTGGGTGTGTATGTCCCGACGGAATGGTGATGTCCGAAGTATGTATGCGGCCACTGTACTTAATAATCACTGTTGACAATGCTTTAATCACATAATAACCACTGTTTAAAATGCTTTAATCACTTTATTGTTAACAACTGTCGTCTCAAAGTCCATTACATAAACTGAGTTTAAGTATGATTGTTGGGTCCCTAAAAAGCAAGTATGGTGGGTACCGCGATTTTTTGAAAATTTTAGATGTTTCCGAGTATTTTAAGTCGGAAAATATTTAGGAAAACATCAACCCTGTTTTGATTAGTTAATGTGTGATGATGATTTGTTACAGGATGGTTGGTGTGTAGAAGAGAACAACTGTCCCTGTCTCTGGAGGGGAGAACCCCATTACACTGCAGAAACTGTGGACGACATGTGAGCAAATCTTCTCCTATTAATTGAACTACGCCTGAAAAAAAGTTATAACAACAAATACAGTACATGATAATAAAGAATGTATTTTCCAAGTTCGGCTACTAGTATTTTCCAAGTTCGGCTACTAGTATTTTCCAAGTTCGTCAATTTGAAAAAAATATATGGTAATTGCAGTCGTCTCTTGGTTATTGTAATCCGACCATTAGCTGCGCCAATGCGACCATTTATCTGTTCAACTCCGAAGTAGTATAATGGACTCTTTGTCTATTCTAAGACGTGTGTGTTCTGTTCTAAACTCAACCATACAAAGCGAACTCTCTTGTTAATGTTCCTGTATGTCTTTATATTGGCCATTGTAGTTGTACATGGCCTGAGTCGACTTAAATTTTACAAGTTGCATTGAACAAGTAGCAATTCTTTGCTTATACCACAGTATTGACAACCAAGTATCTATAATTTATTCTCTGTCTGAAAAAAATCGGGATAAGTGTGAACGATTTCCAGTGGCAGAAAACGACAGTTTTTACCAAAAACGATAGTAAGGCATAAGAACTTCAACCTCAACACTTTTGATGATTGAGTTCTGTAGACCTCAACCTTCCAGAAATCATAACTTGAATGATCTTTTTCTATGGGTTACATTCGCTTTTTAGATTCTGTCTGGTGCCATGCTGCTACTTAGTATCGCTTCTCGGCCTTTTGGCTAAGATCATGTGTAGTATCTGTTCTTGTCAGCTTAATATCTGGCATGCTGGGCATTGCCTGGCACCAATATTAAACTGATTTTTGATCTTCGGACTCGGCAAGGAAGCTTGCTTCAGCCGGTCCACGGATTGTCCCGGTCTTACACTACCGCCGGGCACGGTCCATCCCCAATGAACGAACATCTCCATAATACTAATTACTGTTGCTTCTAGCACTACTAAGTTCCTCGGTTAGAGCAGTATAAGTACCCCTATAGCATACGCTAGATTACATTAAGGGAAGTAAAAGAATGGTATTTTTAATGTTTCATAAATGTCCTCATTGGGCAACCGCACAGGATAAGCCATGTCGTTTCGCGCTCAACAAAATTAATTAAGCAATAGTAACATCTACTTTTGTTGTAGATTTTTTTTGCAAAAGAGCAAATGACATGATAGTTGATAAACTGATTATTGAACGTCTTCAGGGGCTGTGCGAAGTGCAACTGTTCCGGTGGTTTCTGGCAGTGCAACTATGATGATTGTGAGGCCACCTGCTCTGCCTATGGTAACTCCCACTACATCCCCTTCGATGGCCAGTCCTTCTCTGGCAAGGGAGACTGCGAGTACAGCCTCCTCCAGGTCAAAGCCATCCAGTCGGGATCCGACATATTCAAGAGCACGGTCAGTTATATTGCATTACAACGATCTATTTAACAATCTCTACCTTTCAAAAAAGAGGGATTTTTAAGTCAATCAAGTTGGTCGAATTTTCGGCCACTCAAAATGCATCAAAATTAGAATTCTCAATACAAAGCTCTAGTGCTGATTTACTCTACTATATTTATTTATAGGTGTTGAGATTTTTTAGTAGAAACCATAGGGGGGGGGGGATTGCTTCGTAAATCCCATTACAATTCTATGAAGGGGAGTGGTGCAGCTTTGCCTCTGTGTAAATCTTATTTAGCTAGCATGAAATTATGTTTGAACTCATGGTGAAAAATTATTTCAGTTCTACTTAAACCAGGTGGTACCTACTTAAGAATCTCCACCCCATAAATAAATAGAGTAAATTAGCACTGAGCTTTCTATTGATAATTCTATTTTTGCTGCATTCTGATTGGTCGAAAAATCGACCATTTTGATCTATTTAACAACACTCCCCCCTTTCTTGAAATGGGTGGAGATTGTTAAGTGGATCTAATATTTCTTCAATCCTGGCTACTTCTCCCAAGTTTGAGTCATGTAACTAATTTTGTTTAGAGTTGCCACTTTCAAAAAAAGTGACACGAATACTTGTGCTTTGTAGGTTTTTTCTTCAGACAACTTTTAACTAGCCGCCGTTTATTATACCTGAAAGGTAAAGTTATGAGGGGTTGAAAATTGACAATCTGGCAAATGCAGGAGACAACTTCATGCGCGATATATATTTATCCATTTTTCATTTCTTTTTTTTTTAAACTTCAGAAAAATGCTTTGAAAAACTCAGCAAAAGTTATCGAGACTACAAATATAAGTTTGATCAACTCGACCAAGACTCATTAGTCAGGCGTTTTGGATTATCAAACTTTTACGCATATTTCTGTTTTTAAACTATTCGAAACTATCATTTCTTACTGGTGATATGGCTTTAATGGCGTGATGAAGCGGACTGTCAACGTGAAGACGTCCTAGAAAAATCAGATCCGGCTGATACGTTGCCGTCAATTCAGTCCGAGTGAAGTTGCTTGGCTGGACGAGTCGCCCGAGTATTTGCTTCTGTTCAAACAACCTAGATTGAATCTAAAAAGTGAATATGCTCTTCTGAAGGAATCGGAATAAAATCTGGATCTGGGCACAATTTGGTGGTTGAGGCATTTGGAGTTGGTCACGAATATTTGGTTGAAGACGACCATAGGACCGCGAGGTCCACAGAGGGCCCTGTAGCTGACTGGTCCAACTGAACTTCTGATTCATCCACTGACAAAACGGTCTTTTTTCCCCTGTCTGTGACATTGCGGGATTTGAGGAAGACGTCGAAGTGGTGAAAGGCTTTGGCATTGTCCTGGCTGAAATGATCATCTCACGAGCAGCCAGACAGAGATGACGTCGGTCATCCGATGACAAAGAGGAACTGAGACTTGGCTGAATCGGTCGTATTCGACCTTTAGCGAGAAACTGATTTTTTCCTACACAACCATTAACATGAAATTCATATGTTTTTTTGTCTGATGACTTTTTTAGTAGAAAAAAACATACCTAGACCTAGTAGCCTTGGCAATTTTGACCTTTAACGGCTTGAAAAGTTCTGGTTTACGAACTAGTGTTATCTGGAAAATTTCGACTTTATCTGGTTATTTGATAGCAAGTTAATTCAAATTAAGCATGGAACGTGACTCTGCGGAAGTTTCTTCAATGACATTTAACTAGTGGGCCGCTGACAGAATGCTGCGAGCAGTGTCGGTCAGAACATGATTTCGCTCTGTAAGCACATTAAGAGTCTTCACCCCTTCCTCATGTAACCGTGTCTTTTTTAAAGCAAGCCACTGGTTAGCTGCTTTAGCCATTTGATCCTGTGCTTGGTAATGCGGTGTGTCTGCCACTGAAGAAGAGGTACCCCAGAAGTGGGAGGACACGTCCGGGTTAGCTTGCCTTATACGATGAACATTCAACCTAGAGCAACTCGGGTTGCCAGCACCATATCCCGCTCCAAATGAAGATCATCTAAATATGAAGATCATCTTGTATGATGATTTGGAGTAGATCGACAAATTCGTCGTCCGAGAGATCACCTTGTGTAAAATCAAGTTCGGAAACGAATTGAATAGTGCTATCAATTTTTTGTTGGTTGGATGTATTTTAACCCAAGCCTTTCCAGACGAAAAGATAATTGTATCCGCAAACTGCAGAGTTTTCGATAAAGCCGAACAAAAAAATGTCACCACAGCATCGTGAACTGTGTGGCATTATATATTATAGGTTCACCGTTCCCCATATATCATTATTGCAATCATATACCAATTTTGTTCTTATGGTGCAGAAAAGGACAATTTTCTCGTCGATTTTTCAAATATCAAGTTGTGCTGACCAAGTTTCATAATCTAAAATTTATATACACACCAGGCACAAACTTAGCTTTTCCTGATCTTTCAAGCATAAATGTTTCAATCGCTGATATTAAAAAATATCAAATTGAACATAACACGATTCCAAATAGACACCGGAGAACAAATTAGTTATTCAGTGCTTCACAAAGAAGACAAAAATACAACACACAACGATTGCTATCCAATCATTGCTCAATTGCATGGTGGAAAAAGATTCAACCTTTCAACTTAGAGCAACTTGGGTTGCCAGCACCATATCTTGCTCCAAATGAAGATCATCTCAATAAGCGCAAAAAAAGATGATCAGCTGCTTAAGGAAGTTGAGAATATAAATTTTACTTCAAGGGGTGAAAAACCAGTGATGAGTTTTTTTTAAATTTTTTTTTGATATCCCCAAGGATCTGACGTGTTTCCTGATTTGCGGACTGAGCTTGCGGCTCTCAACCGGCGTTTGATGATTTGAATAGTGCGGATCTCCGGTAGTCTCCGACCAGGCAAAACATTTGCGAGATGTTTTTTCAACTAGTTTTTTTTTGAAACCTGAGAGTTGGTCCGTTTTTGTTGCTGTTAACATAGAAGTTTGGTAAACATACCCATGCAAGAGTTGTACAATCTTCTTTCGCCCTGTGGGTTTGATTGTTATGGCTGACGGATAATTTTTGCAACGGTCAATTGCGATCAGGAAGTACAACTGAGTACTCGAATTGTAAGCTGAAGCGTATCCGCAGCTCAATTGCACCTCATCGTTTGGTTAGTATGAAACCAGTAAATGACTGCTGAATTTAAAAGGTAAACAAACTTTTAAATTCTTACCAAATTTTTGGGCAATGCTGAAACCCTTGCAAATTTGAATACTATCACGATGCATACGAGGCCACCAGATTTTTTGGCCGCATCCACCATTGCAAGTTGATCCACAAGAGAGCGATGAAGCCGGGCGAGTATAAGGTGTTGCACGAGGGGTGTTGCATTCCCGTTTTCCACGATAACACTACCATCCACGACAGCAACACTGCTCCAGGCCAACTTCGAATGTGAATCGATTTGGCTGAAACCCTCAAAATTTTTGTTGATCAGAGCCCGTTTCGTCAGGCGAAGTGAATATTTTTTTTTCCGTAAGCTCGGATAACACATCGGAGTTGAGAATCCCGACCAATCTTGGGAGCGATCACTATCGTCAGAGACAACTGCCTTCTTCACCCAGACTGAGCACCTCGACCTGTAAGCGGCTGCTTCGTGCACTCTCAGGAACTCGCCTTCTTTTTCACTGAAGTTTGTGAAAAGACTGGGGTAGGTACCCCGCTATTTCTGCTGGTGACCCTAGGAGGTTTGAAGCTTCGGCCCTACAGCCCCTGTGAGATTTGCAGGTTTATCCCACCCTCACAAAATAGCGTACGATCGAGTGGAACGATTTTGATTCAGTAGCCGCACAAATCTGTCGTCTCGGGTTGAAGTATCCATGAGATTCTAAAAAAATACGACAGCATTAACTAGTCGCACAGTCCCAATTGGTTCAACGTTGAACACGGCACTATAAGAAAGAATAAAAAATATGGTTATCAGATGAAAAAACAGCTGACCAAAAAGGACACCGAAAATTTAAAACAGGCAAAGTTCAAGAAAAGTTCAAGTTTGCATAAAGGCCCCATACTTGATTCTGACTAACCGAGCGCAGTTGCGCAAATTACACGGTCAGTTCTTTAGCGGCAATTCGGTTTAATTGGTTTCGACTGATGGCTAAAACTTGGTCACCCCGTATCAACGATGTAATTTGATTATTCTTAAAATCTGTTTCAATATTAGAAATGTAACTTATTTTGTCGCCTTATTTGGAAAAACTGAACAAATTAGTTGTGACATGATTAGTTGACATTTTTATCCACCTTTTTAACGCGCAGTCTTACAGAAAGTTGCCACACACTGGAATAATTTTCCCAATTTCATAAAGTGTCTCAGGTTGCCTGATATTAAGGCTTCGGACGGGTTGAATGCTTTGAACCGTAAAATGAATTCTTCTCCGCCCATAAATCTAAATAGATGCAGGCACCAAAAAGTTTCTCACTGCATTTAACCATATACGTTTCATCGATTTCGCTCCGTTTTGGGACAGCGAAAAAGGGATAACGAGAGAGATAATCGACAATACCGATTTCGCATTAATCAAAAGGAAGTAAGCGATCGGCCCAACTACTCAATTGCGATTGATGATTTTTGTTTCTTTTGCTAGATTTGACAGCTGAGTTAATGTTTTTTGTGTCAATTTGACCTCGAATCTATTACTTGAGAGATAATACCGGAGATAATCACACGATCAAAAAACAGCAAAAAGCTTAATCTCATTGGTGCCATAATTCTTTTCTTGAGCATTGAGAAACCACGATGCGAAAGCGATCGGCACCCACAACTCCAATTTTAAATCCTGATTCAAAGTCGCGCCACGGCCGCTATGATTGGCGTCACCTAAGATTCTATAGTCACCTATTTTGTCGTCATGGTATATTTTTGTCATGTCACCAATGGGGACAAGGTTGTTTGAAATATACAATTGCCGTTTTCCTCCAATCGAAATTTTGTTTGTTACTTTTTTTGAAAGAAGGGCTTAAATGGTCGTTATAGACCAGCAAATTCGACTGTTGTTTGTTGCTGATGGGTAAAAGTTCCCAATAATGACCGCAATTGCTTCACAGTATTAATTAGCGGTAAAGCTGAGACTTCCTCCATTTTCGACTGATTTGAACGATAATCATGAGCATCAATATCAAACCCCAACCGGGATAATTCGTTAAGCAAAAGTCAGCAAAACCTCGAAAATTAATGGCAAATCCTTTTGCAAAAAGTCTCATAACGAAGGACTTGTTATTTTTTGTTGTGTTCATCGACTGGATCTTTCGAAACAATCAAGAATTCGTCGAGGAAACAGAAAATATTGTTAAGACTTGAAGTGTACTATCCATATTTTTCTAGAATTCTTTAAAAATTTTACTCAAGCCAAATAAAAGCGCTTTGAATATCTGTGCTCTTGTATGCTCACCACAAAAATTGTTGAAAAGGCAATGACTGCTTATGTGCTCGCTGAGTTCGAGTTAACTGAAAGCATACTTGAGGTCAAAAGAAAGGAACCAAGCTTCCTCTTCAGTTTTTGACGAGATGATCTGTGCGGTACAACAATTGTGTGCAACAGTTCCAATAAATTGGGAATCTGAGAACTGTCCTTAAATATTTGATCGCTCTTAGGCTCAGCATTCAATGCGTGCTTTACCGAACCGTCTTTTTCCGCGGTAAAAACTATAGAGGCGGTGGATTGGCCATTTGAGCGGTTTTTCAATACTATTTTATGATCCTCACTAAACAATTTTTTTTAGTTCTTTGTCCTTCTTAGGTTGAATGTATACCGGAATCTTTCTACCCTTCTCTTAGATGGGTGTCATACCCGTAGGTATGCGCAATGTTAATATTGAATCCGAACGGATTGGCGAGCTAACTATGAAGGAGGCTAAGAGCATAAATAAGACGACTGAATCATAAACTGTTTATTTTATCTTCTGATGGCATATACTAAGCTCTTTGTTAGCATTGTCTTCAAGGTCTTTTGACCAGCTCAACGCAGTGAGCCTAACAAATATCTATAAATAATATATTGCCAATCCGGCCGGATGACAATGGGCATAAGCGTGAATTTGAAAGATGATTAGACTTGGTGGTTTTAGACCGACCAAGTCGCGTAAATGCTTCTTTTATTTACTCTGAGAATGTTTTCTGTCACTGATCCGATATGTCATTTTCGTTGACTTCGGAATTCAAAAAAGTATGACGGTGGTCTGATTTTTGTCGTTCTGACTCCCAATCTTGACTGAACGTCAAATCCTAACAACCACTCCTTGTTTTTTTTCGAGACAAGGAAGCGAGCACACTCCTCTTTCCAACCTAACGATGAAGTATCGACCACATGTTTTCTGAAAACGTCAATCTTGCGCCTATTGTGATCTTCGTTAACTTTGTCGACCGAACAGTCTTGGTCTGAAAAAAATTTGCTGAGGGGACTAATTTCACTATCAGATACGCCGTTCTACTATTAACAAAGGAAGCCGTACTACTCGTGTCTACTGAGTTTAATAGAAATAACTGAAAGTTTCATTGCTGGAATAGCTTGTTTATAAAACTACTTATTTTCTTTGCAAACTGATTCCGTCTGTGAATGCGTTTGTGAAACATTTTAAAGTCTCATAGCTCGATTGATTCGATTAAAAAACCTTAATAATGTGCAAACCCATTCAGTTTATCAAGTAACATGAATTTTTTAAAGTTGAAACACGTGAATATTTTGCCTGCCCGGGGCTTTAAAGAAGGTATTCGAGCAGCAGATGGTTATTTGAACGACTCTCATTTTTCTTGAAGTGTAATTGTTTAGGCTCCAATTTTCACTGCAGGTTGAATGCGATCTGGTTGTTGAACAGACTTGTACCACCGATTACCTCTAGGGCTAACGCAATTGTCCTTTTTGAGTGCTTGCTTTTTCTGAGTTTGATTAACATAGCCGATTTCAGCGTCACTTACGTGATTGGGCCCGGCTGAACACACAACTCTTTGGATTTCCTTTATTCGCGTCTTCGCTTAAAAAAGTATCACTGACTACATCTTTTTATAGCAAGTGTCTGAGCACAAAAGGCAGTTTGACCCTTCATACGCGCAAAAATGACTGAGCCTTCATCGGAGTCGACCGCGTTGAAAATTTGAAGTCTTTCCATGATAAAGTTCTCTTCCTTCTTCAAAATGCGTTCACAGTTGTCGCAAAAGTTGTGTAAACTAAATCTCACTTAGATCACTTCTAGATAATCTTGCAAGAAATTTTTTCTTCTCATGGTAACAAGAAGAATAATAGCCAACATTTTATTACTGGTTTAGTTTCGACAAAAAACCCGCCTGGAGCTATCTTTAGTAGTTTTGCCCGTCGTTAGACATTGGCTTCCTGGTTTTTCTGAGTCGCTGCTCCATCACCAGCAACACGGTATGCTGCATCGGTCGCATCTTCTTCAGTGGCAGTTGGTTCTGGCTTCGGAGATGGGCCGTCATGGTTCGTTTGGATAGCTTTCAATAGTTGTTTTAGGTCACATTGTTTCTAAAAATTATTTGCAAAATTAAAGTGACCAGTAATTGACAATTGAAACTATGCTTAGGACAAAACGGTTACGGTTGTAATCGCAATAAATCTGTCCTGTCAAAAAAAGAGCCGGAACATCTGGCTGTGCCACATAGTAGCGCCGGATAATCAAATCAAGAAAAAACTTAACTTCAAGTTGAATTTTTGATTTAAAAAAAGTGAATTTTTAACACCGAATTGTGTCCGAGGAACCGGGCTTTGATATGACATGAGAAAATCATTATAAACTTCAACTGTAACAGAAGGAAAAAAATCCGAGACTTTACTCAGCTTCGTAGAAGTACACGACGGGAGCTATCGTTGTGTTTTTTGCCCATAGCTCGGCAATGGCTTCCTGGTTTTTCCAAACCGCTGCTTCATAACTTCAACACGGTTTGCAACCGCTGCTTCATCAAGATCAAAACGGTTTGCTGCCTACATCGCAACTGCGCCTGTGCTAAGTTTCTTTCGCCGCGGAGGGTTATTTGCCAATAAAAACTGATCAGTTCAGTTCTCCCATGAACTTGATGGATTTGAACTAGGCTTGGGTCAAAACGTTGGTATTTCTGATGAATCCGTCCGGTCGTCAAAAATTGTAATAAATCCCTCCCAAATCTCCAATAAAGAATAACTATAAAACTAGACTCAATTCAAAATACAAATAAATACAAAATAAGAATACCATAGTAAATATGTCACAACAATTTCATAATAAAACTAAAGGTTCCATAAACCGAACATATGGTTTATTGATTTAGCATTGAATGGAGTGTGAGAAACCGGCTGTCAACGACTTTGACTGAAATTAAGGATGAATTATATTTTCCCATTAGCGTTGTATAATGGTGTAAATAGGTTTGCACCACAATCTTATTACTTATTCTTAAGTATTCAGCATCAATAAAAAAAAATTTAACAAGGGGTTGTATCTCTAGATCAGCTTGATTAGTTTAATAGAGTATTTTGAAGAAAAAAAAACTTTTTTTTTGAAAATTGGATTGGTCGATTTGTAAATCACGTTTTTAACAATTGCACTCGCAAGCTTGCTCGCTTAATTAATATTAACCTGTTTTCAGCTTGAGACCGAAAAAGATCGGAACGTTGCCGGAAATAATTGTTCGCAGACTAGTTCGCATTTTTAAGCGGTTGTCTTGAAATGCACATTAATCACTAAAACAATCAAAGCTTGGAAAAATTTTTTAAAATTTGCAAAAAAAAAACATTTTCGTATTAGGAAAACAATTTGGGTCTTATGCACAAAACTGTCAAAAATTAGTGTTTTACATAGAACTAAAATTTATGTGGTTGAATCTGATTGGCTGATTAAACAACGCGTACGGTACTTCAATTAAAACTCCAAGCAGATAAAATTGTTATCCGAAATTACCAAAACCTAAGAACTTTTGTTCTGTTGAAAGCATTTCACAAATTTTTCTAGTCTGAGCAAAGTTTCACAATTGACGTGAAATTAATTTTATTATTTGAGTAATTTCTAATTTCTTTTTTTAATTTCGACTTAAATTTTTATCTGCTGGAAACGCCTGAACGCCTTGAGTTTGATTGGGCCAATCAGATTCGACCGCATAACTTCCAGCTCAAATTATAGAAATATTAATTGTGGGCCGTTTAGTGCAAAAGACCCAACAATTTTTTTGAAAAAAAAAATATTGTTGGCTTTTTCTGACCAGAGTTATCTTTGCAAAAGAAAAAAGAAATAAGATAAACTGTATCAGTAATTTTCCATGTGTTAATTTTCGATTTTATCAAATTCAAACTATCTTTAACTTGATACAGGTGCGACCTCTCGAGTGCGGGTCATTCGGTCAAATCTGCCACAAGGTCATCACACTTGAAACCCTGGACATAAATACCAGACAGGTCATCGCCGGAATCGAACTGGGAGTGGGGGAGACCTCCCGCTCGCACCCAATTGTCAAACTAGGAGGCAATGAGGAGATTGAGTTCACGGGCCAGATTCTGAATGCCACCGAGGAGCACGGAGTGTCGTTTGCGATCAATGACTACTTCATGTCCGAGATTCACATCACACACCCTCAAGTGCCCGCTTTCAAAATGACTCTCAGATGGGATGGAGGTAAGGTTCTGTGTTTTTGAAAATCCGACCCCCACCCCGAGAAAATCCTAGATCCGCCCCTGTATATCCCGTTGCTTTCTTCCAAAGCCCAACCAACAGCTTTCTTAGATTGAATTTCAAAAACCGACTAGTTCAATTTGAATTTTTCTTCTTTTCTTAATTTTTCAATTAAAGTATTAATTTTTATTGAATTAATTCTGTAAGGCTTGCTTAGTTTCAATGAGTTTAGTCTGAGTTGTAGCTGTTTTTCGTCAAGTTAAATTCTGTTCGTAATTTTGATGTTTAATTTTATAGAAGTTGCAAAAAATGGATTTTTCTCACTACAATGAGTTTCGCTTGCAGGCACCCGGGTGCAAGTGAAAGTGCCACGAGTGCTGGCCAACAAGGGGGGACCCTCCTCTGTCTTCTCCTACAGTGGACTGTGTGGTAACTTCAACGGACAGGAGGATGACCTGGCTGGGGATGACCCCAAGGACGGACAGGAGTTCCTGGACAGCAATGCTGTGGACCAATGTGTGCCCATACCCTATGTGCCCACAGAGACAGAGTGTGAGGTTAGTGGAAGGCTAGTCGAAATATTTGTAAATGAGCTGAAGGTTTTTTTCATTGTAAAGTAAGTGTAATTCCCTACTAGCAAAATGAAACTTCATTTTTGTTGGAAACTATACTGACCACATAAATAAGTGAGTTTTTGTTTCCGTTACCAGTAAATGTAGTTCTTACATGCAATTAGTATTAATAGTGACCTAAAAATTAATCCGACGATTCGCCACCCCTGTCTTATGCAACCCCGAAGCATTATATTTTGAACCTTTGCCATATTAGTCGAGTCTTCAGATCTACATTCAATCATAAATTGAAAAAAAAAAAATTCCGCTGAAAAATTTGGATAAACTTATAAATTTTACTCTATCAATAAGAAACTAAGCGTTTAAATTTGAGTCGTATAAGGAGAAACCATATTAATATGGCCTCAAAGCGTATTTAGGATAGTGCGTAGTAAACTAGATTAGATGCACGCAAATAACAGGTTCGATCAACACTCAAACTTCTTTTTCGGAAATTAGTCTCAATAAAAAGAAGAATCACTAAAAAAAACATATATTCTTAATAATCTTCTTAAGTCGGACGGGAAAATAATAATTGAAAATCTCTAGTATTCTCTTTTTGTCCATAGGGTTCTTTTTCTTTTTTCCTAACGTGCAAACTCTTAAAAGTAAAACGATTGTTCATATTTTCTGATTGATAAGAAAGTTGACATGCGAACTAATTACGCCATGAAAAACATATTTTATCCTCACTTTCAACCTTGTTAAACCAATCATTACACCATAAAATTGATGCTCTTGCAAGATGGGGGAAGTAAAAAAAACCAGTTCAATGTTGGTTTTAAGGTGGCCTAAAATGACTTGAGCATTACAATTTGATTCAGAAATTTATATGATTCACAAACTTGCGAGTCGTTTTGCATACCCTGACAGAACAGAAGCAGTTCTATAAATTTTTTTTTGTTTTTTTTTACAGTTTTAAGTAATAAGTCTCCATAAGCCATTCATAAATATACTGTAAATGACTCTCAATTGCGAAAAACGATAAGATATGAGACCGAAGACTACGGAACTTATAATAAATATGTTTTTATCTTCATTCCATGTCATTCCTCATTGCCTTGATGAATTATTTGTTCTTCGTTAAAATAAATGGTACCGCGGCAACTCGCTTGAAAAACAACTTGCAAAAAATACAACTCGCAAAATCCTTACAAACAGACTGGTAAAAATACACGACTTTTATAAAATTTCGAAAAAAACTGATTTATTTTTCAATCTAAATCCAAAACACAAATCAGTGAAACATCAAAGCTTTTCTGGCGTCGAAATGACTTTGATATAAAGAAGTTTCACAGATCAAAGTTAAAAGAAAGACCTTCCAGCTGCTAAATTTGATTATTGTTTTGATACTCTTATAAGCCTTTCTGATAATTTTTTTGCAATTGTTCATATTTAAAAAATCTGCAGCGCTTTACTCCTGATTTGAAACAAAGCATGCCATTTTTGGGTAATTTTTGCTCCTTTTTGGCTGAAAGAATTTCAATACAGTGCGACAAACATAGCCCATTACTAAGTGAAAAGCTTTAACTTATGCTTTGACCGAATTGTTGAGTTTTTTTGATTTGCAATGATCGCATTGTTGATTTGTTTTCATAAAACTGGTTCGAAATCTAGATCTTTTCGTAGAGTTTCACCTGTATAATCCTCCACCCATGTTTTTTTCTGCGAAATAATCAAGTTATGACCGGAGCTCCTCATTCTTAGTTGATGTGGCATACAGGACCTCTAGTGTCGTTTTCAAACTGCTTGCAGCAATGAGAACCAGCTCATTAAAAGATTTCAATTTTTTTCTTAAGTCTTTGTCTTGTCTGTATTTAACAGCCAGTCCTTATTCTTTTCTTTTTTTACCAATTATCCTGCGCAAAAGGAAAATTAACACTTTCTGTTGGCTCTAATAGTGAGTTAAATAGCCAAGTTGTGTAAGGCTCAAAAAAAATTTAATTTTCTATGCAATTTTAACTGCCACGCTTTTCCCCCTTGCGTAAACCAAATTGCAAAACATGCAAAAACTTAAAACACATGTAGAAAATTTACTTTTCAAGTTCTTGTTCATGAGCAACACTAAAAAAATATTCAATATTTTTTCACAAATAAATCACAAATGTGAATACTTGTGATTTGCAAGGTCTCTTTGAGCATCTCCAATTTGTTAACCCATTTTTCTTTAAATCGAACTTCATTAAACTTTTCATCTTCAAAGATCAAGGTGAACTGCATCATTAATCAAATGAGTAAAAACATTTTTAGAAATTAAAGTGATGATATATCAATTCATGCAATCAAGGTTTTGGACTCAAATTTTGGTGTTAAACGAGCAAAGAGACTCATATTTTTCCCCAATAGTTGTTTTGAAATAGGTCTAAAATTAACGCATACTAAGTTTTGTATTACGAGTCATAGTTTAGTGGTAATTAAGGAATTATCTAACAAATTTATTGCGAGTGATCCCGCTTTGCGAGTTGTCGAAATTGTTTTTCGGGATTTGTCTTTTCTTGCGAGTTGTCGTGTCACTGAATTAAATCTTTCTTCTTTTCTGGCAGCTTATTATCTGGCATGCTGGACCTTACCTGGCACCAGTATTAAACTAACTTTTGATTCTCTGAATCGACAAAGTTTTAAAGGGTCCACGGTTTGTCCTGCTCTAAATTTACTGTCGCATACGATCTACCCCAAATGAACTGAATTTAACTTAATTTGAACTTAATTTTTTGAAAAGCATCAATTTGAAATACCGGCGTTGACAAACTATACGTTGCCCTAATATTGCTAGAAAATATGGTGATTGATTTGCGTTTATAAAGAAAGATCAACGTTTTTGAAAAAAATTACTAGTGCAGTTTTTTCCAAAGACTAGGGAGCCCTAATACTGAGATATGCGAAGACCATTTTATACCCCATGATAAGCCTTCTCTGCGAATCAGTTTAAGTTCGCTTGGCAGCTATTTTACTGATTAATTTCACAAAAACATGCGCAAAAACATGCGTGAAACTGCTTGTGATTCAGAACAACCCGGAGCGAGGTGTGTGGGCTCGTGCACAGTGTGACCACTTCATGGACAATGTCATGTTCGCCAACTGCAAAGACGCCCTTCCTCAATTCGACCAGTTCAAGAGTGACTGTGTGAAAGACAGCTGTGACTGCGACAGGTGATGATTCACATCTAAAGACAACCACTTGAATTAAAATCAAGTTGCCGTTTCATTTAAAGTTTTCAATAAATTTTCCTCGATTGAATAAAGTTTCCATGAATTTAAATTATTCCATTTAAGTTTGGAGTTGCTTATTTCTAATTGGAAGCGACAGAAAATAGAAGCAATCATAAATGCCGTATGTTTTGATTATGAAAAATAATTATAGGCCGTTTGATGATTTTTCTGAATTGAATTTTAAATGGTGAACTTACTAAATGAGAACTAAATTGTGTCGTGAGCTAGCATGTTCGTGTTTGCAGGGGCGGCGACTGTGAATGTCAGTGTAAGGTGTTCGAGGCATTTGTGGCTGCCTGTCAAGAAGTGACGGGACAGAGGTACTCGTGGAGGGGCATGGAAACGTGTCGTGAGTTTTTGAACTTTACCACATATTGTCATTGAGTCTGAAAATTTTTTTTTATTAACTTTGATCAGAGAAAACCTGAAAAAGTATCAAACTTTAAGCGCTCAGAAACTTAGTTTTAATGCCGATGGAGTATGATGCGTCCCCTCGAGAAAAACTTATTCCACCGGTATAATTTATCATGTTTTGAATTGCAATCAGAGTCGGGTCTAGGATTTTCTGGCGGGGCGGATTTTCAAAAAAAATTCAAAAATTTACTTACCTTTTTTTCAAATTGAGGCTGAATTTATTTCTTGTAATTTACTTGTAGATCATATTGTGTTTAATATAAAATGCCAAAAACTCTCATAAGCTGATGGGCTTGCAAAGAGCTACTTCGAAAAAAAAGAAGTTAAGTTATAAGCCCCTGTTGAAAAACCAAATGATGAGTAAAAAACGCCCATTATTTTTCTATTTGAAAAATGTGTGTGTTTGTATCCATCCAGCTGTTATGTGTGATGAGAACGAGGACTACAAAGTGTGTGGGCCAGTGTTCAAGCCCACCTGTCAGAACAGAGACGCCTCCTCCATCATCTCCCCACAAGACGAAGGATGCATCGAGGGGTGCTTCTGCAAGGCAGGATACATCATGGACGAAGGTAGAAGAGACCTTCTCTTTTCTCACAATGAGCTGTACAGGCCTATAATTAGTAGCAAAAAGTTGGAACAGACAAACACATTAAAAAAAAGCAATCTGTCAATTTTGAGCAACTTTTTATACAAACTTGAGCTTTCAGGTGGCCTTGTGTCATATTTTTAGTCGAAAAAATTAGTTTTTCGCATGCAAAATTTTTCGAAAATAGGTCATTTGCTCTTTTTAATTAATTCTGCCTGTTCCAACTTTTTGCAATGCTCTATATTCTTGAGACAAGAGGATTAGATGCGCGAAAAGTTTCAGCCTCATTAATCATTGATCATTAAAGTTTGTCCAGAAGACTGACTGATTGTTCATAATCTTTATTTCAGGATATCGAATCCTGAATCATGAGTGGCTTTTATTTCATTTTTTTTGTCTATTTCCATTATTAAATGAGCAACGGCATAATGTTGCATCTGTTGGCTGCGAGATCTTTAGAGCAATAAACTTTTAAAGCTAAGCACATGCTTCAACGGATAGGATATACTTATTCGTTTAAAAAGATAACAATTTTACCCTGGCTGAAATAGTTGAACGGATATACGTGTTTGACTGATATACGTGTTTGAGTTGAAAAATGTCCGTTTTCGACTTCTTCGGTCAAACAATATCCGCTTCCGACACTGTTTGACCTATGATTTGACCATTGTGCCCATGATTTGATCCTGTTTTTCTCTTCTTCTGTTTTGTCTCATGATTAGAAATTGGACAAATCATGATTCGAGCATTTCAGCCCTAGAAGTGCTCGAACTTTAAAGCGAGTTTTCCTTCTTATGGCTGCTTAATTTTATCTTTTGCTTTTGTTGTTTGCAGCCACTGGCGAGTGCACCACTCCTGATGACTGTTCCTGTGACGTCATGGACTATGACCAAGTGAGCCCATACATTGCTAACGGCGAGGGGTTCGACTACTTCTGCAACTACTGGTAAGAATAAATAACCCAAACAAAACGCCTGATGCTCAGCTGACTGACTTTAGCAGCTTCTTTTTAAAACTCAGTTTTCCATCCCCGACGGAATTTCTCTGAGCTCATTTCCGTCTCTGAGCTGGAATTGAAACTCAGCTTTCGACCGTAGAATTTCGATCGAACAACTGCAAGCCTTCCCGAGGGTAAAAGTCATCAATCTATAAATCGACAACTTTGACTCGAGTCTCTCATTTTTTTCAGCAAATGCATGTCTGGTTCTGTGACTTGTCTGCCAATCCCTGGATGTGTGATTGAGTGCAAACAGGACGAGTTCTCCTGTAGACCAGGACACAGTGAGTGTCTCCACAACGCCACCATCTGTGACGGGAAGTGTGACGACCTCGTGGACTGTTGCGACGAAACAGACTGCGGTGTGTTCACGTGTGAAGATGGAACCACCTGTGATAACAGCACTGTATGTTATTCCGAGGGCGAGAAGTGCGATGGGGTGGCTGATTGCACCGACTTATCCGATGAGCTCGGTTGTAGTAAGTGTTTTATTTACTCAGCAAACATCTTTGATCTGGCCGACAAATTTTTTCCTTTCTTGAGAGGACAGGAAAGCATCAGCCTAAACTTCAGCAATGGATTTAACTCTTAGACTAGAATCCTATTTTGTGTAAGTTTGTTGGCGCTCTGTCAATGGCGCTCTTAGTCGAAACAGTTTAAAGAATCAAAAACCGTTTGTTCCGTCCATTAATTCGAAAGAAGACCAAAAATCTTTCGAATTATCCCTTATTTTTTATTCCATGCATATTCGAGGAGTGTCAAAATTCATACCATGCATGTTCCTTTTCATGTACCATGGCTGCTCTAAGAATATCTTATACGAACAATATCAGAAACCATTCGTTCCGTCCCTTTTATACCATGTATAAAACTTGACTCTGTTTCAGTCTGTTCGTGCGACGATGCCTCCGACTTCCAGTGTGAGAGTGTGTCCTCCCAAGTGTTCAGCTGTGTCTGTCTGGACAGTGGCAAACAGTGCGATAGAGTATGCGACTGCGACTATTGCGACGACGAGTTAGCTGCACTTCTTCCCATCGTTATATTCGTTTTTTTTCGGTTTCGATTTAGTTTTTCAAGTTTCGTTTCCACGGGCCATAGTTTCGGGGGTCTCATAATTTTCAACTGTAAGTAATACTCTCTGTCCATAGCAAACTTTCTTTTTAATTTTTTTCTACAGAAGAATATATATCTCGCTGTTTCAAATCGTCACGGTTACACGACTAGAACAATCACATTGTCGTAAATTGGTTGCGACGAAGCTTTATTTTTTTTTTAAATAATAGCTGGATACATTTCCGACATTTCAGGAAAGACTGCATGTACTGCAAAGAGACAACCTACCACTGTAACAGTACCGGCTTCTGCTACCCTGACGAAAACAGGTGCGACGGGATACCCCAATGCTCGGACGGATCGGACGAGTGGAACTGCGAGAGTACGACGACAGAGACCCCGACCACCACCAAGACTCCCTTCCAGTGCTCTGAGGAAATGTCGGACATCACGGACTCCATGAGGTATTCGGAAGTCAAGTGCGTCAAGGACTCCTTCCTTGTCCTTGATATAACTGAGGTGAGTTTGACCTCAGTTCGTTTAAATTGAGAATGAAATTGTTTCTTAGATAGTGTTTTTTTCTAAATGCAGGGAACTTTCGTGGAACAAGTGAAAGTATCAGTTGGCTTTCTGATGGACGTTAACTTTGTGGATGTCTATCTACTGAAAGAGGCAGACCAGATATCCCCAGATGAACTGGCTGATCCACTCTTTGCTGTTGACACCAGTGCCATCGCAAGCTCCAAGGTTTATATCCCACATATACGCAGATTTTTGTATTTACAAGAAAAGAAAAAGCAAAGAAGAGAAAATCGCTTGACCTCTAACTTCAGGTCTAGACTCAAAAACCGGCCTTGAGTCGCAAAAAAAGAGCTTCGCTCAACAAAATAACACAGTCTGGAATGTGAGGAGATAATACAAATGGCTTATACTCGACAGAACTGTTAAGGCCTACTGATAGCTCCTCTGCGATTCGCAGGAACAAAAAAAATCAATGATTGTGCCTCAGTTATTGCAGAATGATTAGATAAAACTGTGAGAAATGGTTGTAGTGGCAAATTTGCTTTGTTTTTTTTCTAATATTTGATTTTTTTTTAAATCAAACGACAGAATTTTTCTCCATTCTCGGTATCTCGTTTGCATAGGTCGCTCAAGGATCTTTCCCGCCAACTACATCGGATGAGGCCTCCACTACCAAGGAAGTGTTGGTTCAAGTGCAAGATGATTTCCGATCGCCCATCTACTCACAAGTGCTGCTCAAGTTCGACAAGTCGTGCGACGAGGAGACAGGCGAAGAAATCAAATCTGAGCTGCTCGGATGCTACCGTAAGTCGTTGATTCGTGATTGCTAAAAAATAACAGAGAGTACTAAATTTTGAATTCGATTATGTGATGGACATTGAACATTTTTCTGCATCAATAGTATGTTCCTGTGCAAATAGCTTTTTTGCACGCCAAATATGGTACAACAAACAAATAATCATCGAGCTGGGTCGAGTGATATATAGCATTTCAAAGCCATTTGAGTCGTGATTCGAACTATATCAAAAATGTTCAAAAAGTTTTCCCAGTATTAAGACAACTGGTTTGGAATTTTTAAGCTTTAGTCTAAGTTTTCTTTTAGCGCCATTTTCAAAATTTTTTGAAAAAATCGCAGTTTTCTGTAACAAAATTGTAGCGCAATTTTTCGAAACTTTTTTGGATTCTCTTTTTTCTGTTAATTTATATTAAGTTAAAAGGTTGTGTAATACTCCTATTTCACTTTTACTACTGAATGTGTCCCAGCTTAAGGCTTTTCTTCAGATCTTTTTATCAAACCACGAACAAAAAACAGCAAACTGTTTTTTTTAATATTTAAAATAATGTCTGGTCAGCAACCGGCTGTTCGGATGTTTTTCTGCGTAAAATTTTCTACACTTCGTTTTTGCCGTCAGTTCACTGCAAGGTCACGTGATTTCAGCTGAATTGTTCTGCGGGGAGATGTCCAGTCCCCACTCTGAGGAAGTGGATGCACCATGCACTGACTCCACAAACCCCCTCAGGGCAGTCTCAGAGTACCCGGTGGTAAGTTCAACTAAAACGAATCTATTTACATATCGTTTCCATTTTCACGCTATGTCAGGAAGATTTAAAAATATCAATCTTGCAATATACCATGACTGCAAAATACATGAAAAATTAGTAAAAGACTCTTTTATCGCATGTTTTTTTGTTTGTTTTGAAATTGCGAAACTAGAAAATTTTATATATGTTAATTTTATCATAATTTAGTTAATAGTGAATTGACAGCAGTTGATTACAATTGATCCACAATGAGGCTTTTGGAGTCATCAAGGTAGTATTTCTGAACTGTCGAAGACTTCTTACTCCTTTGTTAAATTTCAGCCAATCGAAATTGAGCAGATCGATGTTGTCATTCCCTCCATTGACTCGACCCAACCCATGGAAGGCGCAAAGGTCACAGCCCTCTTCAAGAACTCAGAGGGCGAGCTCTTCTTTGTGCCGCAGGATCTGTCAGCCGACAATGTATACAGCGGAATTTTGGAAAACGTAGGTGGCCGTTTTTTTCGAAATCAATAAAATTTTGTATTGCTTTTTTTTTAGCTCGTAGCATCGCTAAAATAGCACTGTTGCGAAAAATTGCACAAAATAATGAAGCATAAATGGACAAATGGAATCTGCTTCAATCAGTATTTTGGGGTCTAGTGCTTTCAATTCCTAACTAACAACAAAAGTTTTTGCTTCAAGTTTTTGCTTTTTGAACGCTGCAATTCACCATTATTTTGGTTAGATTTTAGACAAGAACAAATACTTTTTCTCTTTTTTGTCAGCCGATCCGTTGATTTTTAGACCGACATTGAGACTCTAGAGACTGCTGGTGCGATGGTGAAGGAACTCAGATCATCGGCCACTTCGGACGATCTCTACATCTCCATTGGGAAGAGGGGTCTCACTCTGTTCCAAGACACTGTCCAAGTGATCCTCTTCTTCGACAAGCAGTGCTCATCCAACCCTACTGCCCAACTCAACATCACCGGATGCTTCAGTCAGTATTTCCGCTTTCTCATTTGGTATTGAAGAAAAATGATTGAAATCAAATGAGTTGCTACAAATCAGGACTGAAATCCATTTTTTGTGAAAAAATCATAAAAACACAAAATACTGGTCTGGTTTTTTTGCAATAATCTAAGTGCTATTTTAACATTTCTGTTAAATTGTTTCAAATTTGCAGAAAATTGAAAATATATTGTCAATCTAAAAAACCAAACCCTAATCTTTTAAAATAAATCAATAGACAATTTTTTGTTCCTCGCTCAGAAGTTAAAAATGAAACTAATTTCTTTTATTTAAAACAGATGAAACTACAACTGCGTCTGTGACTTCGACCACTGAAATTGTGACTACCACTGCTTCCGAGGCACAGGAGACGACCACTACAATCAAAGTGTGCGAAGAGGGAATGGAAGAAGCCGAGGTTCCCGAGGATGAGTCAGTCGTGGACTGTGGCAAATTGATGGACGAAGAGGACGACGCTTTCAATGTGGACGCCGAGAACTTCAAAGACATTGAGATTGTGATCAACTTGCCTGAGGTACTTTTTCTGAATTAATAGGTTTTAGAAAGTTTGATTTGAAATTTTTTCTCAGCAAATTGATAGTAATACAAAGTCTTTATTTGCGACAAATTTTTCTTTCACGGACATTTTTTTTGAAAGTTTCTGAATACCTATTTCTGTTTTTTTATAAAAACATTTATTTGGACAAGAAGTTAGATTGAAAAATTGATCAACTATGTTTACTTGGGAAGCAGTTATCAAGTCTATATTCAGCTTATCTTTCGGATTATTACATGTATAAATATATATTTTTTAAATTTCCGATCTTTTTCTAAAATTTCAGAACAAAACAACATCCGAAAAATATAAAACCAAAAAGAAGAAAATTGAAAAAAAAACATCATTTAAATGCATATATATTTGCATGAAGTTATGCTGCAGGGTTCGGCCGTTGACGAAGTGAGTGTGGTGACATTGACTCCTCTCGTGGATGGCAGTCCAGTGGAGTTCCGAGTGTTGCTGGTGGAGAATGAGACCTTCTGGTACTACATTGGAAACGACGTGTCCGAATTGGGACTGGACGACCCTGGATTCGAGGAGAACGAGGAACAGTTTGAAACAGACAGGAAGGACCAGAGGAGCACGGCTACTGTAAGTTACGGGGAAGAATAGCAATTTGTAGAGTAAAATCCAAACCAGCAGCACATACCTCGATTAAAGGTGGTCGACTAATTAATGTATCAATATTGTTTAGTAGATCTTTTTTCTTTCTTAAACGTCAAATGTTTGAGGCATTTTTATAAAGCTCCCAAGATTTTTTGTTGCTCATAAATAGAAAGAAACTATAATACTATCAAAAAACTTCTTCACGTCGAGCGGTTAATTTTTCTCTTAGGTGTTCACTCTGAGCTCTGGCTTCATCCTTGCGAGCGAAGAAGAATCAAAAGAAGCCACAAAGGTCATCGTTGAAGTGTCTGGCTTGACATTCGTGACCCCAGCAGTGACCGGATCTGTCACCGAAAACGTCACTGAAGTCTGCACCAAGCTGCCAGACACTCAGTTGTTTGATGTCAAAGTTCACGCATGCGCATCGCAGGTCACTAATTGTTTTCAACATGACGGAACATTTATTTCTATTGAAGTGTTACAGAAAGCAGAGAAGACTGCCTTTTGTCTTTAAGCAATTGAGCTTAAGCTAGATATTTTGTTAAAATATATTTTTGTGCTCATTTTAGTTTGACTTAAAATCGAATTTTTCAATTCTTGGCTTCCAAAGAAATTCAAGTTTCGCTCATCAATCGAAGTTGTATGTTCTTAATTGAAAGGATCTACCGAAGCTACACGCACAATTCGGAAAATTTCATCTTTAAGTTAAACTTTTTTGGTATTATTTTCATTCGAGGTTACCTCACCTTTTCGATGAAATTTTTTAGCCTTCAACCACTGTAAGCGAAGAAGTTTCCACCACAGAATCTGAAGAAGAGACTACTACAGGAGTCGAGACAAGTACTGAAAGTTAGTCGCAACAATGCTACTTTTTTACTCCTGCTTCCGAATTTGATTTTAAATATGCAAAAAACTGCTTCACGTTCAGATTAATTTTGATTAGGAAAATTAGGAAAAATTTTTGTTGTTCCGACTTTCGAAGAAAAAAATGAAGGAAAATTTGTGCTCGGATGGTTTTATTTCTCCAGACAAGCTTCGAATTTTTACTAGGCTTTTTAAGAAGATTTTTTTATCATCCAAAAAGTATAGTTGTTCTCAAATTGAACTCAAATTTTAAGAGTTGTTTCACGTGTAATCATTTTTCGTAAAATTATGGAGGTTTAGAGATAGTCATTTTTACCAATTTGAGATAATTAACGCACGATATATTTCGTGCTTATAACGCGTAAACGGAGATTTAATCTATCTGAAAAATCCTTCCAATTTGAACTGAGGCATTTTATTTGGTCTAATAAATGCTTAGCTATATAAGAAATATATCACTTCGTACTTTAGGGTAGGGGAAGATAATTTTCAAAAAAATCTCAAAATGAAATTTGATTTATAAAAAAACTCATCCGTTTTTAAGACAAATGCTTCTACATAATCTTTAAATTACAGTTGGAACAATCAGAGTTTTGCACTGACACGAGCAGTCTTTTTGTTCCGACATTCGAGAAAGTGACGGAGTATTTGTGCTACGGGTGTTTTTTTTTCTCGAGATATTTTTGACTTTTTGACCAGCAGTTTTTGACGGAATTTTATCTATTTCATCTCTAACGAATTGTTTTCTTGAGCTCAAATTTAAAAAGATATTTTACCTGTGATCGTTTTTAGAAAAGTGATGGTGGTTTGAAGGTTGCCAATTGGGGATAATTAACGCGCGACATAATTTATGTTTATAAAACGTAAAGCGAGATTGAATCTGTCTTTAAAAAGGTTCCGAATTGAATTGAGGCATGCATTCACATCATATAAAGTAATTATGGACGGTATGTGGGGAGTACGCTACGGTTGATTTTCAAAATATCGGCTTCAGCGAAGTTTAGTTTTGCCTCTGCGTTTATTTTTTTTAACTATCAATTACAAAAAGCTAACAAGGATAGGCGGTTGCTGTGCTGGAATTTTACAAATTTTTTCTATCAATTAAAAGGTTTTTTGTTTTGAATTCACTTTTAGGAAGATTGTACGCCTGTGTTTTTTTTGTAAATTTATTGGGTTTAAAGATTGCCAATTTCGCCAATTAAGCGCGATGTAGTTCGTGCTAACTACGCGTAAAGATAGGGTTAATCCATCTTAAAAATCGCAACAAATGTAGTTGAGGCATTTTATTTGGCTCAATTATTGCTTTCCTATACACGATATATCACTTTCGATATGATTATTTTCAAAAAAAACTCTTAAAAAAAACAATTTTGAAATTTCTGTTTTTTTTTTTAAATTTTATGCGTTTTGGAAGTAAACAGTTCTTCCAAGGCTTGAAAAATCAGTCGTAATGTTTAGATTTTGCACTGCTATGAGTAGTTTTGTTTTTCAGATAATCGAAGAAAGTGAGGGGCTATTTGAGCAGGGGGTGTTTTTTCTCCAGACAAATTTCGACTTTTTAACCAGCAATTTTTTCATATCATTCGGAAATTTTGCTCAAATTTAAAACATTATATTTTTGCCTGTGATCTTTTATAACGCTATGGGGGTTTGATGATTGCCAGTTTGGCAAATTTGAGATAATTAACTGGCGATATATCTCCGGCTGTTAACGCGTAAGCCAAGATTTATTTCGCTATAGAAATTATTCCAAAGTGAATTGAGGCATGCTATTTGTTCTATTCAAAATTTTTCTACTTGCGAAATATATCGTTTTGTACTTTACATATTTTATGGGAAAGTGGTTTTCGAAAAATAAATGAAAACAAAAATCAACTTTTTCTAATTTTTTTTTAAAATTTTTTCATACATTATTTAATAGATGTTTTCAAAAACTATTTTAAAGACATTGGAAGTCAGTCGAAACAATCAAGACTTCGCCTTGATACAAGCAGTCTTGGTGTTTTTAGCGGTTTATATTTTTACGTCCGAGATCAGAAGTGGTTATCAGATCGGTGCATAGACTTTTTTATTCAAACTCATAATTGTCTTCTGAAAATTTGATTGAGACTGAATTTTGCAGACTGATTTTTTTGGCTTGAAAAAAATAATTATCTCCCGATTATTTGTCTTCTTATTTTTGTAGGCTTAGGCACTACAGTATGAGTTTTCCTGATTATTTAAGCACTTTTCACTTATGCGTCAAAACCCGTTTGATGTATTCTTGTAATGCTGCAGTTTTCTTATTTGCAAGAAATTTCACCAGTTTTCTTGAATTTTTTCCCCGATATGCAAGATTAGGACGATTTTTTGTTCGTCTTTTCTTTTGAATTTTTTGCATTGTTGTTTTCTCCGCTCACGCCAGTGTTATTTCAATTAATTTAGCTTTTAGACCTCTTTTATTTTCAGCAACGACCACTCCGTTCGTCTGTGAGCACGGCGAGGAGAGGAGCGTGCCAGTGGACGAAGAGAAAACCGAGTTCTTCCAGAAGAAGCTGTCAGACACGAGGTTCCAAGTGACGAAGAAAGCGAGCAGTTCTCCCGACGATACTGACAAAGAGTATAAAATCGAGTCCCCCGAATCGAAGGGTGTGGTGGCTATATACCTGGACGGAGAGGTCAGTACGCCACAAAGATTCATAATATTGAAACTTAAAAGTATCTGTCGTTAAATGTACGGTATTAGATATAAATGATCCAGAGCATCAAAGTTTTGTACTGGATTATTATCTGTTTGATTCCAGTGCTGAAGATTTTCTGATTTTCTTGTTGGCCGCGACTTAAAAATTTTGTGATGAGTATTCAATTGGATTTAAACCAGCAATTTTAAGACCAAAACCAGCAAAATTTTCATCAATGTTAATGTTCACTTCGAGGAATTGGCCGTAATTTGAATCGACTATGAATTTCTGCGATTTTTTTACAAATTGAAAACTTTTAATCAATGTTATGATCCCACGGGAGTGCTGAAACGCCCTTTGTAAATTTAGCCCTGTTAACCAAGCAAGGGTGTGGCAACCAGGTACTATATTTGTTTTCCTGTAAACAATTTGGTTCACAAGATTTCGGTCCTCAATAGGTTACGCGTATTTCAACTTTCTTTCTAATAAATTCAAGATCAATCAGCTATCTAGCGCATCTGGCGTAGAATGCTTGAGACTACAAAGGCTTTTCTTTCGATCCGTCCGTCTGTTAGCTCATTTGGTTTTGTTCCCGATGCGCGGACTCTTTTTAAAGATTCAACTTACTAAAACACATAAAGTAATTGAGTTACAAATTTTTGACGGTAACTAATTTTTTTGTTTTATTTAAAAAACTTTCAAATAAAACTGTGTTTTTCAATTTGTTTTTTTTTTAGAAATTAAATTGATAAATGAGCACGGAATTATTATAAATGTCGGCTCGTTAACGCTACTTAAGTTTATTTCGATGCAAATTTAACGTTTGATTGTCTTATTTGGAATTTCATAAGAAAACGATTTTTATTCCAGACAATTTGATACAATGATATGAAAATATTGGTAGATCTAGCTTTTCTCGACAGTATCACATTTCCACAAGCTTTTTGTTACGGCTTTCTGCTTTATGGCTGTCGACTTACACTGTGTCGGTTTAGTTTCCGAATTGGGTATATCACCTTGCACTCACTACATATAAACTACTCGTGGACATTATGTGGGCAGTGACGTCGTTTTGGCTTCCTTTTTAGCTTAATGGCTGTCGGCTTTAATTTTGTCGTTTTTCCTATTTCATGTTTTGTTTCCTACAAGTTTCAGTTTTTAATTTTTAAATTGATAAATCTTCGGCTCACAATTTTTGAAAGCTCAAAATCAATCCCACAAAAATTTTTTTTTTAAAAACTTTAAAAAAATGTTTGATGGTAAACTTTCTTTTATTCTCTTCTAAAACTTTTGTTTTTTTGTTTTGTTTTCTTATAGGTTTTTCCTCATTTTAGGTCATATTTTCTAGTTTTGTAGCGCCATTTTGATGTAACTCTTAAGTATCGCAAGCGATGACTAAGCTTGTTGTATCGCAGTATTTTTCGTTGTGCTGCGCAAATTTCCTTGAAGTTGCAAATGCAAGTGTTATTCATTGTATTTTCACGGAGACATAAGAGTTTAAACATTTTTTTGAAAAACTAGTTGTTTTTCCGCAACTTGTGTCTGCCTTATAATTCTTGGCTCTGTTTCCTCTTTTTAAGTTTGTTCCGTTGCGTTGCCACATCAGTAGTTTTTCTTGTGCAGTAACCAAACTCATTTTTTTTGCAAATGCTAGTGAGTCTCATTGTAACTTCAAGAGGGGCTTAGGACTTCAAAATTTTTTTTTAATTTTTTTGTGCAATTGTTGGCTTTATTTTCTCTTCGTGAATTTTTTTTCGTAATCCAATGATCAAATGTTTGGCTTATTTGCCTAAAACAAAATTTTATCGAGACACGCAAATTCAATTTTTCGTAGACCATCTATGTGTAAATTTTTTTTTCTTAATTTTTTTAAAATATTTCTCACGTTTGTCTTGTATTGCAAGTGGTGCGAAGTTCCGCTTAGCCTCTGTGTACGAAAATGTTTTTTTTTCTATATAGTGTTCTTTCTTGTGCGTGATGTGACGAAAGAACCTGACGAAAACCTAAATTTTAAAACCTAAAAAAATAAAAAGTTCTGAAGTTTTTTTTCAACTTTTTTTGCAGAAAGTGCTTTGTCTTTTGAAGTATTTTATTCCAAAAATGTCGCTTAATTTTTTTTTACTGGAGTCAAATTAAATTTCTATGGCTTAATTTTTTATAATCAGCCTGATCGCTTGCTTTACTTGGTCGAAAATGAACTAAAAACTTCAAACCGGTACTTTTCGTCGATGGGACAAATTTTTTGATTAAAGCTTTCGATTGAATAACGTAATGAGCTTGCTCGCTCATCTCATTTGCTCAAAATTAGACTAGATATCGAAAGCTTCAAACGCGTATTTAGAAAATGTTTTTACTATTTTTTAAATTGTTCAAATCGTGACTAAAAGGGCTTAAAAATGACGTATCATTCAACCTTTTACCATGATTTTTTGTGGCACCTGATTTTGTGCGGCAAAAACAAACACCTGAAAACAAAATTCGTCCGTATTTTCAATGGTCGAAACAATTACGAGAGTAGCTTTCTTGATTATTGAATATTCTTGCCAATCAAAATAAACTTTAAAAACTGAAGTTAAATGCCCATGGTACAATTTTAAGACTTTTTCTGCTGTCAAAAGTAGATAAGGCAGCAGAAGTGGATTTAAGAGGGAGCGGACGCCCCTCCCTTCTCAGGGATTCGACCCAAAAGGTCCTCTCCTTTAGTAATTTTTAAGAAATCCATTTTTGGCCGATCGACATTAAAATTTTTCTAAAGGCGCCTTAGGCGCCAATATATACTATTTCTGAGGGGGAGCACGCAATTTTTTGTCAAAGTTTTCCAAAAGGTGCCCAAAAACGGAAAAATCAATTTGGTCGACCTGAAAAAAAAGTCGTCAAAATTTTTTTAAAATTTTTTGAAAATCCAACCCCCCCTCGCGAAAATCCTAGATCTACCCCTGTAAGGCAGTGCTTGTTTTGTGAATGAATCAAAAGCAAGTAGAGGTCTTAATAATTTTTAAACAATCCAGAGTGCAATAATTTCTGAATAAGCGAGAAAGCTTAGTTTTCCTATAACTTCACAAAAGGGATATTTTTTCCAGGTGGATATCACCAGCATTGAGTTGACGAACGATAACGAATTGAGTCTGCGACTGGTGTTCGAAGACGAAGAGGGAAATAGGTTTGAGCTGAGTGCAAGCGAGCCACGAGAAGTCATCCCGGTTGGCCCCAATGACGACAAACTACCCACTGTGAGTTTAAATTTCACTAAGTTGAGACCATGTAATGTATGAGGGCTCATAAGAAAATGCAAATACGCTGTTTATCGCAAAGAGTTGAGCGACAGCTAGTATGCCGATACCTTACTTTTTAAACTATTTGAACTACTTTTAACTATTTGAAACTACTTTCAAGTAGTAATTGAATTCATGGAATGGTGTCTTCTTCTCAACCAAATTTAGCTGATGTAAAAATATTATGTACCACATTTTTTATTAACACTCAGGACTAGCACTTAAATTTGCTCCAGTTGTCTTGAATATTTGCAGATTTTTTCATTTGGTATGTTTCTGTCTGATACTTGATAACTTGTTTGCTTAGAACTACTTCGAGACTTCGGAGATGGAACCCGATCTCAGTTTCTCAGATGCACCCACTTCAACAGTTCCTGGACAGGAAGACTCCCTGAAATTTGACTTCCTAGTCGTAGACAAGAACATCGACACTATATTTGTTCTCTTTGAGGACAAGACGGGATCGAACAAGACTCTGGAACTGTCCCAACTGGCTATTGAAGGATGTTTCCATCCCAAGTTGAAGGAGTGCGACTCCTCGGAACTGCCAATGTTACTGGAACCAGAAACCATCTCGGTGGTCCAGGCCAGTGCGTAACATTTGAATCATTGAGGTCTAATAGCTTATAACTGGGGACTCGATTAAGAACTGAAGTTCAGCGCATGTACAGACAGATTATTGAAAGAAATTTTGATGGGCCTCAAATTTAAATCAAAATATTTTTGCAGTGGTGTTCATTTTGAAAAAATTATCTGATTAGAACAAGGTCTCACGTAAGTTATATTTTAATTTGAAATTTTTTACTCTTGAACTGATATGCGAGGAAAACGATTGAACATTTACGGAAAAAGTGATTTTTTGGTGCGTTAGGTCCATCGTTTGTCAGTTCGCCGTCCGACGAAGACACTAACGAGCTAAATCTCGGATCAGTGTCATCTGAAGTTGAAAAAGTTGTGCTAATTGCCCAGCTTACTTCGGACGAAACTCTCTTGCCAGTCGTATCGACTCTTGCTCTCACTAAAACTGACTTCGCTGCGTCTTGCTCCATGGGTGAAGTACAAATCTTGTTCAGCCTTCAAGAGGAATCGGGCCCAGACTTCTCCGAAGTTGCTGAGGATGGATCTCAAAGGACTGTCGATATCTCAAGCTTTGCTTTGTTGACATCATCGTCGTCAAATGGAAAGAAATATGCAGTCGATTTCCGCGATGCATCTGACACAGCGTTTGTGGATCTTGTCGGAATCTTGGGTGCAGATAGTGACGGACTGCCTGCGTTCAAAATTGCAATTGTGATCGATATGTCTAACCCAGCGTGTTCCGAGCCAAATCAGGTTGACAGTGGAATTACTGTTGACTTCTATGGCTGCGAGTACTGCTCAGTGAATAGTGGCGATCCAGCTTGCCGTAAGATTTTCACTTAATAAAAACTTTTTTAAATATAATTACTTGTTTTTTTTTTACATTTTTTTCTTGAACTGATTGCGTTATTAAATGTCATTCTTGCTTGAAATGATGTTCATATTTTTCAAATTTGTTCTAATGATGGCAAAGTAGAGAAAAGGATAGTTGGTTATGGTGCAAGAAGCACAGAATGCTCCGACCATAGTCTTAAGAAATACAAAAAAGTTTTTTCAAACGAGCGAAGTGTTTTCTGCATGATGTAATAGAAGAAAAACAAAAAACTAGAGCTAAGGCATATTCGACATTTATAGTAAAATAAATAAATTGGACAACAAATTTTGTTCAAAAATGACTCGCAACAAATTCGAAAACTTTATCATACTTATGTGGTTTATTTGAATTTTTGAAGTTTTGATTCCAAAAAGCGGTTAAAAACTCAAAAGCTAATTTTAATCGAGTTAAACTAAATTTTCACGGATATAAATAAAGCATTTGTAAGCTGTTATGCTATTGAAATAAGCCTGCTAGCTATCACATTATTCGCTCGAATTCAGACTAAATGTCAAATGATTTACATCTGTTTTTCTCAATATTGGGACAAGTTTTTGAAATATTTTCTTATGTTGTTTGAATCACGACTGAAATGGTTTTAATATGGCTCATCACTCGCCCCATTCCGATGAATATTTGTGGTGCCTCATTTTGCGTGGAAAACAAAAAAATAAAACACACACTAATACCAAGTTCTTCCCCAATTTTCAAAGAGTCGGAACATTGACTTCGCAAAATTATATTCCGACTATTCTCTGTGAGAAAAAAACTGCTTTGGATTTAGAATACACGACGGCTGAGTCCACGACTGCAGCATCTACTACTGGAGAGGTTACACCGACGACAGCAGGTAATATTTAACTCACGATCAATTGAGCAATTGAGGATGGTTAATCAAAATGTGTTTGTATTAACTGAATAACAACCCAAAAAATCACGTGAAAACCTTAACCCTAGGATACGTTTATTTTAAAAAAGATGCCGATACAAAAAAGTTTTTGAAAAAAAAAATCGAGACAAAATTTCAAATTTTTGCTTGAGCAATCATTGCTTCAAGGCCAGCAAATTAACCATATGCACTCTTTTGCATAAGCAATTATTGCTTCGAGGAAAGCAAATTAATCATGCATGGTTGGTGCTCTAACCTTCATCTGAATATCGAACATTGTTCTCCGGAGCACCTTAGTAATTTATTTTCATTAGTTTTCACTCTGAAAGTTTTTTTTGAGATTGATATTGTAAATTTTGGTGTTCCATAATCATTGAAGAATCTAACACATGATTTCATATGACTCAAACTATTTCAATAGTGTTACTAATAAGGTTTTTGTTGATGTTGCTGCTGATTCATTTTCAACAAGGTAGTTATTCGGACAATAAAAAAGAGCAATGCTTCAGCGGAAACAACGACAATCACGCCATGTGATCAAGACGAAATGAGCACACTACCACCACCCACTAGAACATCAACCACGTCGACGCCCTCCGGCGGAGTGAGTGAGCCTGCTGGTCCATCTGGAACTACAGGGGCTGGCGGTCCATCTGGAACTACAGGGACTGGCGGTCCATCTGGAACTACAGGGGCTGGCAGTCCATCTGGAACTACAGGGGCTGGCGGTCCATCTGGAACTACAGGGGCTGGCGGTCCATCTGGAACTACAGAGGCTGGCGGTCCATCTGGAACTACAGGGGCTGGCGGTCCATCTGGAACTACAGGGGCTGGCGGTCCATCTGGAACTACAGGGGCTGGCGGTCCATCTGGAACTACAGGGGCTGGCGGTCCATCTCAAACTACAGGGGCTGGCGGTCCATCTGGAACTACAGGGGCTGGCGGTCCATCTGGAACTACAGGGGCTGGCGGTCCATCTGGAACTACAGGGACTGGCAGTCCATCTGTAACTACTGCGGCTGGCGCTCCAGCTGGAACTACTGGAGCTGCTGGTCCATCTGTAACTACTGGGACTGGCATTCCATCCGGAACTACGGGCGCTGGTGGTCCATCCGAAACCACAGGGGCTGGCGGCCCATCTGGAACTACAGGGGCTGGCGGTACATCCGAAACTACAGGGGCTGGTGCAACATTTGGTTCATCCGGATCTACTGAGGCTGGTGCAACATCTGGTCCATCCGGATCTACTGAGGCTGGTGCAACATCTGGCCCATCCGGATCTACCGTGGCGGGCGCAACATCTGGCCCATCCGGATCTACTGAGGCTGGTGCAACATCTGGCCCATCCAAATCTACTGAAGCTGGTGCAACAACTGGCCCATCCGGATCTACCGTGTCGGGCGCAACATCTGGCCCATCGGGATCTACTGAGGCGGGTGCAACATCTGGTCCATCCGGATCTACTGAGGCTGGTGCAACATCTGGTCCATCCGGATCTACTGAGGCTGGTGCAACATCTGGTCCATCCGGATCTACTGAGGCTGGTGCAACATCTGGTCCATCCGGATCTACTGAGGCTGGTGCAACATCTGGTCCATCCGGATCTACTGAGGCTGGTGCAACATCTGGCCCATCCGGTTCTACTGAGGCTGGTGCAACATCTGGTCCATCCGGATCTACCGTGGCGGGCGCAACATCTGGTCCATCCGGATCTACTGAGGCTAGTGCAACATCTGGTCCATCTGGATCTACGGAGGCTGGTGCAACATCTGGTCCATCCGGATCTACTGAGGCTGGTGCAACATCTGGCCCATCGGGATCTACTGAGGCTGGCGCAACATCTGGCCCATCGGGATCTACTGAGGCTGGTGCAACATCTGGCCCAACCGGATCTATTGAGGCTGGTGCAACATCTGGTCCATCCGGATCTACTGAGGCTGGTGCAACATCTGGTCCATCCAGATCTACTGAGGCTGGTGCAACATCTGGTCCATCGGGATCTACTGAGGCTGGTGCAACATCTGGTCCATCCAGATCTACTGAGGCTGGTGCAACATCTGGTCCATCCGGATCTACTGAGGCTGGCGCAACATCTGGTCCATCCGGATCTACAGAAGCTGGAGCAACATCTGGTCCATCAGCAACAACTGGGATAGGCGAAACTTCAGGTCCATCGGCGACTACCGGAACGGGCGGACCTTCTGGACCATCAGGAACGACTGGAGTGGGCGGACCTTCAGGACCATCAGGAACGACTGGAGTGGGCGGACCTTCAGGAACGACTGGAGTGGGCGGACCTTCAGGACCATCAGGAACGACTGGAGTGGGCGGACCTTCAGGAACGACTGGAGTGGGCGGACCTTCAGGACCATCGGCGACTACTGGAGCGGGCGGACCTTCTGGTCCATCAGGAACGACTGGAGTGGGCGGACCTTCAGGACCATCGGCAACTACTGGAGCGGGCGTACCTTCAGGACCATCAGGAGTGACTAGAGCGGGCCAACCTTATGAGTCATCAGCAACAACTGGAGCGCAAGAGCCTTCTGTTCTTTTCGGAACCACAATCACATCTCCCGATGTTGGCTTTAACTGCGCTGAAACCAAAGGGACTATTTCATATGAGACATATGCATACGAGGTTAGCTGTTTTCTAATTAGATGGGTAGTTTTATGTGGACCACATAAGGGCATACAAAATACATGATCTTTAATGATGTTTTAGGAGGCAAGTGAAGTCATGGAAATACAGATCAATCTCGCAGGAGTGTCTGCGAGCACCGAACTGTCGATCTCTTTCACAGATGATAACGGTGACACGTTCTCGCTTTCACAGTCATCGCAGACAGAGTCCTTTTTCTCAAGTGTGCCTGGATCATCAGTAAGCATAACAAATAAATACGATTTTACTCATGCCGAGTTTTCCCCAATATTGTTTCGAAAAAAGTTGACTATAAACTGCTAATATTTTGTGCCAAAACTAAGCTCTACATATTTCCAGCACATAAACGAGCGCCACGAGATGAAATTCACTTTCAAAATAATTGAGGATTTTCAGATTTCTTAAACTGCAGCCCCCTCCCTATAATGGTACCAGTTAATATTAATCTCCTAAAAAGAACATTATAAATGGCCAACTCTATGTGGATTTTGATGTGAATGAACCTCTTTAATAACCAACCCCCCCCCCCTTTGCAATAGGGGGAGAACAGTTAAAAAGATCCGCATTTTCAATAAAGTTCACGCATATTGAGGTCGCACAGATATTATTACAAAAGTTTTGAAATTTGCTTTAAACAACAATTCATTGACGAAAATCGTCCACCGATATCAAAACCAGAAGCCCGGCTAAAAAAACTGCTCACAATTAATACCTTTATTACTATACTTAAATTCGTTGAATCTCAGTTGCATTCATAAGACTTCGCGATGTTATTTGACTCGTTTCTGGATCACCAAGAGACTATAAGTGATTATAACGCTATTTGTGACATGGTTTTCTAGTCGATTAAATTTTCGTTTCAGCCTCAGTGGTTTGATGCTGAATCCATCGAAGGAGGTTCCATTTTCTTCTCAGACGAGGGTGCTGCCATAGTCGTCAAATCAATCACAGTGGGCGTCAAGGGATGTGAAGAGGGAATTGTCGATCTGTCTCTTGTCGGATGCTACAGTATGAGATAATTAAAATTTTAGAATCGCTCCTAGATTATTAATAATCTTGATGAATAGGAAAGACTACGCTACAAATAAATAAGAAAGACTGAGCTACAATTTTAATAAATCGAAAAGACCACACTATAATTTTTAAACTGAAAAAAAAAAAAAACGCTGATAAAATTGGAAAAAGCCGCAAAATGTAATGATAAATCTTTTTGAAAGATAAGCGAATTTCAATTCAATAATAAACAATGAGAATAGCCGATTAGCAAGTGGCACAAAATGTCCCGATCATAGACTTTAAAAAAACTACAATTTTTTTTTTAAATAGTGTAGTTTTTTCTGCGTGGTGTGATAAAAGGATCTGACGTAAAACTACAATTTAGGCATATTCGACAGTCATAGTAATAGAGGCAAATTGGATACGAGTTTTTCTTTAGAAAAATGACTAGAAAAACAAAAAATAAATTAAAAAACATTTTTTGCAGAAATTTTTTTTTGCAGAAAAGGTTTGATTTTTTTTTGAAGTTTTTGATTCTAAAATGGCGCTAAAATAATCCAAAAACTTAATTTACTTGCTTGAATCTAAGTTTCCCGGGCTAAATTAAGCATAAAAAAAGCTGTTATAAGCCTGCTTGCTCGCTTTATTTGCTCGAAATTGAAATAAAAATCAAAAATTTTAAACCAGTTTTTCTCGATACTGAGAAATTTTTTTGAAATTTTTTTAATGTCGTTTGAATCACGGTTGAAAGGACTTTAAAATGATATATCACTCAACCTAGTCCGATCATTATTTGTGGTACCTGGTTTGCGTGGAAAACAAAAAGGAGAAAAAAAATAAAACACCCGAATACAAAGTTCCTCCCCATTTTCAATGGTCGGATCAATAAAAAATAAGAGGCGGTAGCGGACGTTTTTTTGGTGCGTGATTTGGTGCCCGTACAAAGACTATCCAAAACCAAAGAAGTTACTTCCCACTTTCGGCGACTGACATAATAGCTGATAGACAAGAGACACTCTTGAGAATATATATTCTGAATTTCCTTTTAACGAGATATTTCAATGTCATATTTAATTGCAGAACCCACGACAACAGTTCTATCCACCACCCCTCCTCAGCCCCCTTCCCCCTGCGAAGAGGGAATGGAGGACTTCCAGGAGGTGCAGTCGGTGTCCGATGGTGACTCAGAGGGTCTGACGAGCAGTGAGGACTGTGAAGTGGACATGGAGGACGAGGGCATGGACTACTTCGTCAAAGAGATACCTCTCTCAGAACTCTCCCAAGTCAGTGCACTGAAATTATCCATATACATTTTTCTTAATTCAGACATCTCAAAATATAGTATTTGTTGGTGCTAACTTTTACAGTTTTTTTTAGGTCGATCATTGATTTTCTGAGCTCTTTCAAATCACTATAAAGACCCTAGATTGACCAAATTTTCTGCGCCGCAGGCAACTTTTTCAAAAAATTTAAGGCCAGTCGTCCAAAAATGGATATCTCAAAATAGTACAAATGGGGGACCCTTTGGGTCGGCAAGGGGTCGAATCCCTGAGGGGGGATGGGGGGAGGGGAGGGGATAACTCGTTCGCTTCACCTATATCCGCTACTGATGCAGGATATTCGGGGAATCGCTTTAATATGCTAGGTTTATTGGTTTTTTGCAAGCGTTTTCAGATATTTTTGATTTTTTTTTTTCAGTTTTGCTACTTCCAAAAAAAAACAATTTTTAACATTATAACTCCGCCATTTAAATATGCAAAGCTAATTCTATGATCATGAAATATCGAATCGATATTTTCGATCAGTGATTTTCAAGTTCGTTGTTTTAGACCTAAAAATTTCTTCAGTGGCTCTCAATTTTTTCTTTATTGCTCTAAGACATCTGCTTGCCGAAGTCAGATAATTGCTCAAAACTTTTTTTTTCTCTTCAGTTGACCGGCATATCTATCTCGAGTGACGTGTCATACGGAGTCGACTTCAGCATGAACATCCGAGTCGTGCTCGAGACGACAGACGAAGACGGCGACCTCGTGTACTCGGAACTGAGCGAAGCGACAAATGATTTCGGAGTGCCGACACTGGTTCCGAGCGCAAAACCAAAAACTCCGGATTTCAAGAGCAAGGACGAAACTTCAGATGCTGGAATCAAGGTAAGGTTTCTAAATCACTGCGAATGTTATAAGCTGTTATAGGATTCAAGCTGTTCTATGCTATAAAGCTGATATTATTCAATATTATGTGGGATGATACAAATTCGTTACCTGTTATTTGTTCTGCTTAGTACTTTTAGACGGTATGGATTTTTTAAAAAAAAACATGCCTAAAAGGTGCAAAAAAGGTGCGTCAAGAGGGATTCGACCCCCTGTTTTCATCGTGAGACTGATTTTGTTCAGCTGTTCGGTGTGAGTGATGATGACAGTGACGGGGTCATCGAAGTTCACTTCAGTGAAGATGATGCGGAGACTTACGACGCCACAAGGGTGTTTATTGTCGTCTACCCGGACGTTGGCGTAGTCTGCGAGAAGTTCGCTTCAGCATCCTATTCGGTTCACGGATGTGGACGTTAGTTAATATAGTTTTTGCCAAATCGTATATTTTTCGTAGAAAAAATTTAAGAAATCTGACGAATTAAATCAGATGAAATCATGCTCATTTCATTTTATCGATACAAAAAAAAGATATTGCACAATTTAGTCTTTTTTCCAATACAAAGATAAGCGATGGACAAAAAATAAGACTGGATATTCTGATCATGTTTTTTTCTCGACTAGATCCTACTACAGTTGCGACAACTCTGGGTGGCTCTTCTACCACCACTAAGTTCCTCTGCTACTACAACCCAGTGGACGACCAGACAGTGGAGAAGACTGCCGATGATGTCACAGATGTGGTGGAACAACTCATCGTGCCAGAGGTCAGCAGAAATCATCTACTCCTGTCATAATGTATAAATTAATCAAACAACATAAAATGCAGTCAGAAAATTGAATCGGTAAACTGTCGTTTTTCACATTGATATTGCATTTGTTTTAGAAAACAGAAAACATCGAAATAATTTGTGCTGCAGAGACCGGAGTTTTTCTGGTTTCAGTACAAATAAACGAAATTTGAAAGTTGTTATTTTTCATTATTGCTGTGAATAAAATTTAGATCATCCAGCGCTCGAAATTAAGCCTAATTTTAAAGTTTTCTTGGTATTTTTATTCATACACGTTAGAGGTACCTTATATTAAACAATAACGCATAGTTTTTTGATGGACTAGACCGAGTACGTGATCAACGTGCAACTGTCCACTCCCCCCAAAGACCTGTCCAAGTGGAAGTTCTTCCTCAGTGGAGTGCAAGATGGACTTGAGACTGTCTGGGTTCCCACGGTGAGCGAGGAGGGCTTGTTGCTGTTCGAGGAGTTGAACCCAACAGAGGAAGAGGCCGTCACTGCTGATGTCAAGAGTGTCCTTGTAAGCTAAACTCACTTTAATGACATTGCAAGCAACAACCCTAGGCTAACACGCAGGTCGGTGGTTCCCGGGTTGAGGTACTCGACTCATGATTCGACCAAAACGGTCGAACGATGTCCGTCTTTGACTTTTTCAGTAGAACGATGTCCGTTTTCGCCTTGTTGAAACGAACTATGTCCGTTTTCGTTGCAGGTAACTATGCCGTTGGTTGCACGTAATTAATGCTAAACATTTTTGTACCTGTTAGTCCTTGGACCAGCGATACCATTTAGCTGAACTATTTTGTAAAGTAAAGGAAACAGCTTGTTTTATGGGTTGAAGTATTGCAATTGAAAAAATGGTTGATTCAATTCAAATAAAAGCTAAAAACTTTTAAAACTTACAAAAATGAAATCATATATTTTTGTTACTAACGAAAATGAAATAAGGTTATTAAAAGACCATTAAATTGGTTTTTTGTCTTTTTTCGAATCGAATTTATTTATTCAAAATTTTCTGTAAACATGACCATTTGTTAGTTAATGAAAAACAACTGATGAAGTTATTAACAAAAAGTGTAAAGAATAACCGATATCTGATATTTTGTCCAGGGTCTAACGAGTGTGGCACTTCCAGCCACAAATGAGACTGTGAGTGTGACCTTTGAACCAGAGCAGAAGTTCGACGAACTGACCTTGAAGCTGGTCACAGATGACCAACAAGAGGAGAGTGACGCATTCTCGCTAGGACTCAAACACTACACCTGTCAGAGTGAGTAACTATAAAGACTACTGCAATAGTTCAGTTCTCAAACAAGTAAACTATCCGACCATTATCCAACATTCAAGGTCAAAAACCTAATTAGTTCACACGTAGCGGATTGTCTCCTTGATAGTTTGAAGGTCTCCTTGGTTGGTTGATAGGTTAACAAAAGCGAACTCTAAGAAGCGCAGGCTCCAATCTGTTTGTTATACCCTCAGCCGTTAGGTGAGGTATATACTGTGTAATCTCGATAGTCAAAATCTATGCTTAATCGCTAACTAAGAATTGGAATACGAATAGATTGAGAGCAACTTAAATTCAGTTTAGAAAGTTAAGTCTGATTCGAATCTGACCTCGAAATCATGAGAGAGACAGAGACTCATAAATAACTATTGAATATGGTGTTAGGTTTAATAGGTACTTAATTTAGATCAGACTTCTATATAGTTCAGTTTACATAGTGTTACATAAGTATATATGGTTAGCACTTGGGATGGATGTAATGTTTTAGATAAACATAGTTCTAGTATATCCGAATGGATAACAGTTCATATTGGTATGTACTGTATCCGTATGGATAACATTCCCCTTGTTTCTTATATGATGAATACATCATATATCTTTTGAATTATCCGTAGCGTCCTTGTGTGAAGTTTTGGGGTCGTTTCCATCCAATGATAATTTCGATATCTGTTGAGTATATGCTTCCGATGATGTCTGTGGGGTTTGTGTAGTGCTCGGCTTGTTGTTATTCTCCTCGTTTGCGTATTTTCTTGTACGTTTAGTAGGTCGCTCTTGTTTTTCGTATTCCCTCTGGAAAGTCATTGAGTTTTTGGGTGGAGAGATGGATTGGAGTATTTTCATGGCATCGTTAAAGTTGTCAATGAAGGATTTGTCCGGAGAGCATGACGTTTCATTCGATCTACCTATGACGTAACGTGAACTAATCGCTCGTTGTTGGGGGTTATTTGGGCTAAGAGACGTAGTTGACGTATCTAATCCTGATGCGAAATTAGTTCGTGGGCTACTTTGTGGTGACGCCGTGTGTGTGTGTGATTTCGTTGGTGTTCTTACGGTATGTATGGGTTCATATACCGCTTCCGTTGGGCCGCCTGTACCTTCACAAGATTCTGTAACCCTCATCTGTTCTGGTGTTTTCTCCGATGATTGGCACGGTGTTTTGTCACCTGATTCGATTTCTATACACTCTATGTCTGTTGAGGATTCCTGGACAGTGATTGTCTGGCCAGTTGGTTCTGTTTTATCTTGTTGCACCGTTATGAGGCATACTTCATTAACTGGAGTGCTCTTTGTGATTGTATTGATCGGGATTGCATTACCGAATTTTAGTGCCAGGGCGCTTGTTTTGGTTCGTGTTGATCTACGGTTTGGAACTGATGATTGTGATTTTTTGCTGGCATTCGTATCTTGTGGCGGCGTGGTTTTCCGATCTACTTTTTTGGCTGGCGGCATTTGCGGTGATTGTCTCAATTCCTGGATTATTGGGTCGTCTGATGAGATGGAAATTGATGTGTCACATTCGAATTCTATGTTTTTGTTTGCCTCCTTGCGTATCTTATTCGGGCTGCCTTGACCTTTTCGGCTTGGTGACTTTAGATTTTTGGTTGACGTTTGGGTCTTTGTCGTCGGGGCTTTAGCTGTTGTTGGGATTATCCTGTGAATCCTATCATGTCCTAGTTTCCGTCTGCTGGTTGTTTGTCGAATAAGTTCCTCGACATTCTTGGGTGGTTTCCGTTTTGGGCTTGTTGTTGCTGTTGAGTTTTCCCCCCCCCCGGTTTCCATGGTCTACTGTTTTCTTCTTTGGGAATTTTGAGCCTGTTGGTTCATTCTGATTGATGTCTTTGTCTAAAATACGGGATTTTGCTCTTGGTAAGTGTTTGTATGCTACGAAATCTTTTAGTTGTGCCGGTCTACATTTACCGTACACCCTTGGGTCAGGTACAAATGCTAGTCCGTCGTGCCTTATGACCCTTGGTTGTTTTCCGTCCTCTCGAACCCATGCCGTGTGCGGGGAGTAGTTAATTATTGACCCGTTTTCAATAACTTTGAATTGTGGCCCAAATACCCCTGGATTTTTTGTTTTGCGTGCAATGGTGCCCGATTTTCGAGCTACTTGTTCAATGCGTTTTCCTAACGCCGGGTCTATAGTTTTTTGGGGTCCTTTAAATCGCTCTTTTAGGAACACCAAGGGAGCTCTTTCTATTCTATGTTTTTCCTGTTGTGTAAGCCACCGAATTGGTTTTCGTGTTCTAATATTTGCTATGTCATGTTTTGGGTTTTCTGCGAAAAAGGACCGTTTTACTTTTTGTAAATCATACGGTATATTATTAAGCGGAAGGTGCGCACCTATTGGAAACTTTCGTAGCAAGGCCTGGTCGAACAGTTCATCTTCGTCTGTGTCCGCCAGTGAGATTTGCTTCTTTGTCTCGGAGGGAGTCTGTCTATGTGGTGTTCGTCCTAGGGTTTTGCTTCTAACCGCCTGTGAGGATGGTTCCGCTGGTTCACACGATGGTTCGGGAAGGTACGTTTGCTTGTACACCACACTGAGTTCATCCTCGCTATTGGTTTCCCTATTCCAGATGGCCTCCGGCGTGAGGGCAGGTTTTGTGAGCATTTTCTCATCTAGGCACGAAAGTTTTGTATTTTCCCATGAGAGACTAGAAATTTTAGGTGTAGTGCAAATATTAGTTAGTGTTGTGTTTGGTTTACGCCCGTAGTGCGCTTCAAACGGCGTAATTTTTGTTGTTGCGTGTGGGGTAATACGTAGTGTTTTGATTAATTCCGCTACATCTGACGCTAGTTTGTACGGTGTGTTGTTTTTATCGATCTTCATTATAGAGAGACGAGTTTTCAAAGTTCGAATTAGTCTTTCTACCATTCCCATTGAGCGATGGTCATCCACTGGGGTGAATATTAACTTAATATTATTGCTCTTACAGTAGATTCTAAATTTTTTAGCCCGAAACCCTTGAGCTTGGTCGCACCTGATATTCCTTGGTACCCCTTGGTTAACCAAATGTGTTTGCATAAACCTTATGATTGTGTCTGCTTTGTTATTCGTTACCACTTTTGCGTAAGGGAATTGCGAGAATCTGTCTACCCCAACTAGAATGTACACGTCTTTATTGTTTTCGTCCGGTAGAGGTCCAGCGAAATCCAATTGGATTTCCTCGTTTGGTTCTACTACGGCGTCAAGGTTAGTATAGTGTTTTTTTCCAGATATCACCCGAAGATTCTTACCTTTGGTGCGGCACTCCTTGCAATTCTGTGCTGCCGTTACTATGTCACGATGTAGGAATGGGTACCAAATATGTTTGGCAGCTTCCAGCATACTGCCTTGTCCTGGGTGGGTCAAATGAATTGAGTCAAGAATAATCTGTCTAAGCTGCTTCGGAATTACTACTCTATCGTCATATAGCAGCACATTGTCTTGAACCGACAGACGGTTTCGCACGTTATAGAAATAAGGACCGTAACAGGCTTTTATTTGCTCCCATTTTTGGTTCCGGATCATGTTGATCAGGGGCTGGAGGTTTCTATCTCGTTTTGTTGCGGACGCAATAAATTCTACATCTAGTGCCTTTCTTAGGTTCTTTCGGAACAGTGGTACATCTTCATCCTCCATAGAGATGGCTTGGCACACCGTTTGCTCCTCAGGTGGGTCTGTCTGACATATTTGGTCCGATTTTCTTGTGAATGTGAAGCTATCTTTTGAAGGAATTATCTGGTATCGCACATCGCTAAATGACAGTGTTGATCGGCCTGGTTCATCTGATAATTCGTTCAATGATGTGATCTTAGTGGGTGGAATCGATAAATTGGTTTGTTGGCCGCTGTGGCATTTCCGCATAATTCTTTTGAAAGGGGGTAGTGACATTCCTGTCTGAAGTTGGCGACTCATTTTGTCTGTTACTGGATCGGGGGGGTGTTAACTTAGGGTACACTTGTTGATTAATAAATGATGTTTCTTCTTTCCGTGCTTTTTCTATTGAGGGCTGATTGCAACTGTATGAATTTATCGAGTAAAACTTTGAAAGAATTGGATGTGACTGAGAGAGATTTGAGTAATTTGAAATTTTTGAGTGTGAAAGAGAGTGACTGTTTGTTAGAGAATGATCGTTAACAGCGCACTGTGTTTCTTTTGTATGCGAATTTGAACGATTAGAGTTTTCGTTCCGGTCGAGCTGTGCTGTGTGTTTAAATCCGTTTGGATTTTCGTTCATTTCGATATTAGCTATAGTGCTGTCTTGAAATTCCAGGCAAGAAATGAAATCATCAATAAGTGCGACCACGAAATGTTCATCCCAATATGCGGGTGGTTGTGGTTTTCCTACCGGATGGCGCGAAATATAATCTATTAAGCCCATTTTACTGCCGGAAAGGTGTTTGATGTCAAAATCAAATGGAATAAGACGGTCAATCCATCTAGTTAGGCGACTTTGATATGTTTTATTACTTTTATTACTATTTAGGGCACTGCCAGAGCTTGATGGTCCGTAATTAGTGTGAATCGGCGGCCATACAGATAGTATTTAAAATGATCAATAGCCCATACTGCCGCTAGGAGTTCCAATTCATTTACCGAATATTTGTTTTCACATGCGTTTAGAAATCTGGACGCGTACGCTACCGTAGCCCATCCGTCGGGCGTTTCTTGTTCGAGAGCAGCTCCAATACCCTCGCGGCTGGCGTCACAGACTACTCATGTTTCTCGGTTACTCACGAAATGACGATTTTCTGTGATGTTTCGCACCGCTGTCAGAATTGTTTGAAATGCCTCTTCATGTTTTTCATTCCACATAAAATGGAATTTAGAAGAAGAAGATAAGAGTGGCCTCAATGGTGTGCACAGTTGTGCTAGGTTTGGTATAAATTTATTTAGATGATGAATTGAACCCATAAAACTTTTGAGTTGTTTGAAAGTTTTAGGGTGTTGTAGATTTGTGATCGCCTCAGTTTTCTTGTGTAATGGTATTGTCCCGTATTCA